AATTCCCCGGCCTGCCCAGGACAGCGAGGCTGGTGGGACGGCCGAAGGGGAGCCAGCACGGCAGGGGGCGGGGGGTGACACGCAGCCGGCAGGGCGGGCACAGTGACAGAAATAGAGGGCCTGGCATGCCTGCGAGGTGGCAGGTAGAGGCAGGGACTCGGGGAGCTGGGAGAGAGAGACCGAAGAAGGAGGCGAGAGGCCAGAGATCCAGAGAAGGAGTAGGGGAGAGGCAGACCCCAAGAGAAGAAGAGTCCCCAAGAGGAGACACCAGGGCCCAGAGAGAGGGAGGGATGGAGTCAGAGTTATGGAGAGAATGAGAGAGACTTACAGAGGAACATGTTCAAAGAAGCCGAGGGACAGAGAGAAAGGCACACAGAGACGGTTAGGAACAGAGCGACACAGAGAGATGACACTAAGAGACAAGGAGAAAGATGGACCCACAGAAACTGGGAGAGACATCACACACACACACAGACACATTCGCAGGCTTTGAATGAATGAATGAATGAATGAATGAATGAGTGGCTAGAGAGCCATCGACCAAGAACGAAATGGAAAACAAGGCAAGGACCAGACCGACCCTGCGCACCTGCTCCTGCCTGGCTGAATGACCCTGGCCCAGTCCCTTCCCCGTCTGGGCCTCAGTTTCCACTCTGTGAAATGAGGGGCGTGAAGTACACAAGTGTGTTTCTGAGAGCCATGTCCTCAGAACATCTGAGCGACAGACACCAGACTCAGAGCCTAGGGAGAGACCTAGAGAAACAGAGACACCCAGACCCCAAACCCAGACGCCCCCAGCATCTTCCCCACACGCCCCACCCTGCAAAAATGATGAACACACACCAGGGCCAGCAGACCCTCCGCACGACAGCGACAGGCACACAGCAAAGACAGGCATACTTTCTTTTAAACAGACAGACAGATGCTGACTCACAGACATACACATGAAACACCCGAGGACAGGCAGACCCACAACACCGATGCAGTCACACACAGACTCTTTGTGGTAGGGGGTATGCAGACAAACTGACACAGACAGAGAGACACATGCCTAAAAGTGTGAGACCCAGAGGGACCAGGGATAGGTGGACAAAGAGAACCACACACACAACACAATAAATACACACGCACGAGAGTCTGATATCCTGAGACGGTGACAGTAAGCACACACCCAGAGACGAACAGACATATAAACCCACACAACTGAGGGATACAAACAGTAGATAATAACACCCTGAGACAGACCACAGGGACCTCAATGGGCGCATCCTTTGACCCACAGAGGCACAACACAGATAAGACCAACACACACAGTCTCCTTCAATTAACACCTTATTTGGCCCTTCCCCTCCTCCCTAGCTTAACCAAAACTTAAGCAGCCTCTGGGCTCCCTGAGCCTCAGAGCTAGAGGTGTGTGTCTGGGGGGTGGGGGGGTGGGGAGATGGCCTTGGTCACTGCAGAGCCACCTCCCCCTGTTGCCCTCGCCCCACCACTGCGGGGGCTGCTATCTGTGAGCAAACTGTCCTTGGGGTCAGGGACAGCAAAGAGCCAAAGGTTAGGTCGATGCCTCCCCGAGCCCCTCCCCCAGGGGCAGCCAGCTCTTAGGGGCAGGAAGGAGAGGGGCCAGAGAACAGCAATTCGGTGTTCAAGCCCCACAGGGCCCACTGGCCAAGGAAAAGAGACATTCAGTAAGAGGCAGAAATGGTGCCTTTAATGGTCAGACAGAACCAGTATCCCACTTCCCGGACAAGAACCAGACGTCAGTAGAAATTCCCCCTACCCTAACCAGTCCTTTCTGGCTTCTCCTGGACCGAAGTGGGGAATGGGCTCCAGAGAAAACCAAGGCATATTCTCATCCCCATCCCTCACTCAAATCACACCGAAGAGACAGTAACGATATGGCCAACACAGGGGCTGTAGTGGCCGTCATGGTGCACAATGGAACACTGGTTATGTCAGCCAGCCAAGATGGTAGCCATCGTAGCACTCAATGGGCCAAAACAGAAATTATGCAAGATGGTGGCCAACTTGGCACTTCCTAGGCCAAGAAGTCCACCAAAAAAGAAATGGCCACAGCACCCAATGGGCCAAAGAAGATGTAACTGAAATGGTAACACCATCACACTCAAAGGGTCAGCCAAGAGGATGTCCATCACAGCATCCAGAGAACCAACCAAAATGTCACCTAGATGGTGGCCATCAGAGCACCCAATGGATCAACCAATAACATCCATCAACATGGCAGTCTTCGCAGTACCAGTACCCAGTACCAGGGCCCACCAAGATGTCAATGGCAGTTATCACAGTACCCAATGGATTGACATGATACCCACAGAGATGGCAGTCACCACAGTAAGTAATAGACCAACCAAGATGTTAACTGACGGGACAAGCAAAGTGTCACCAGAAGGATCAGGCCCCAAAAGCCTGATGGTGTGAGCTGCAGCCATACCCTACCTGCCAGCTCCCACCCCCCTGCTAGGATGCATTAAGCAGAGAGCGGGAATAGAGGCCCTGGTAGTAGACCCCAGGCTCCCCACCCTCCGCCCCGTAGCCCCCAAACCCCACGTCCAGTTTGGGAGGCGCTGGTGTCTGTTCCGACATCAGGTTGTTGATGGAGAAAGGGTGGTTGAAGTTGTAGGGCGCATCCAGCTTCAGCTCCCCGGGGAGCTCCAGGCCAGTGAAATAGGGTGTGGAGGAAGCCGGGGAGCCACAGTCCAGAGCCCCCACATCTTCCCCACCCTGGGCCTCAGGCTCGGGGGGTGGAGGCTGGGGCGGGGAGGTGACAGTGGCAGCAGGGGTGGTGGTGGAGGCGGCAGACCCTGCTGCACCGTTCCTGGAGGTGGAGGTCCCGCTGCCCCCTTTCTTCGCCTTCTCCTCCAGCTTGAAGCGCTTCTGGCGGCGCAGGTAGCAGCCATTCTCAAACATGTTACCTGAGCTGGGGTGCAGGGCCCAGTAGGAGCCCTTGCCCGGCTTGTCTGGGGAGCGCGCCACCTTGACGAAGCAGTCATTGAAAGACAGCGAGTGGCGGATGGAGTTCTGCCAGCGCTGCTGGTTCTCCCGGTAGTAGGGGAAGAGGTCCATGATCCACTGGTAGATCTCGCTCAGTGTCAGCATCTTGCCCGGCGCCTGCTGGATGGCCATGGTGATGAGCGAGATGTAGGAATACGGCGGCTTGGCGTGCGCCAGGGGCCGCCGGTACCCTTTCGGCATCTCCTTGCCATGCACCAGCCCCGGGCCCGGGCTCCCGTACCCTGAGCTGCTGCCTCCACCGCTGCTGGCACCCAGGCCTGGGAAGGTGGGCCCCAGGGGCGCGGCGGGGGCTGGGGGCGCCAGGGGTCCTGAGGGCAGTGGGGAGGCAGGGAGCCCCCCGGGGGGGTAGGGAGAGCTCAGAGGGTTCAAGGTCATGTAGGAGTTGAGGGGGGCCATGGTGGGCACTGGGGTCACCGGAGAGTAGACCTGAGGGGAGAGAAAGAGAGATGAGGGGGGGGTCAGTGAGTGTCCACTCTGCTGGTCAGCAAACGGTTGCTGGACCCACTCACTGCGTGTCCGTCTGTCTGTGTGTCCTGCCTTGTCTACAGACCCTGCCATCCTTACCTTTCTCTGTAGGAGGTAATGTCTGTCTCTTTAAGTTTCTCCCTGACCTTTAAGTGCGCTCCCTGACCCCATCCCCACCCCCACGCTCCCATATACTAGAGCCCACCAGTGGTTCTAAGTGTGGCCTAGGACACCCTGGGGAGTCTCTGAGACCCTTTTAGGGTCCCCATGACGTCATAACTATTTTCACAACAATGCCAAGATGTTATGAGCCTTTTTGACCCTCTTTCTGAGTGTACAGCGGAGTTTTCCAGAGGCCACAGGACAAGTGACATTGCAACAGACCAAATGGAGAAGGAGCTCCAAGAAGCCACCTGTCTTCTGAACCAGACACTGAGGAGATTTGCAAAAACAGTAACAGTGCCGCTCCTCTCACAAAATGTTTTGAAATACAACTATTTTAATAAAAAGATGTTATTTGTACTAACAAATTGTTGCTATTTTAAAATGAATTAACACATATTTTATAAATTTCTGTATTAATTTCTAGTGTGGTAAGTATGGAAAGACATAACCCATGTCAACGAAAACTGTTCGGGATCCTCAACAATTTTTTGAGTGTCAAGAGATCCTGAGACCAAAAAAAAAAATTGAGAACTACTGATTTATCTAATAATCTAATTTATATGTGTAGCTCTCTCTCAAGCTCTTAGATTATAAAATTACAGTTATTTTGTTGTTTTTTTTAAAGATTGGCACCTGAGCTAACAACTGTTGCCAATCTTCTTTCTTTTTTTTTTTTATTGCTTTTTCTCCCCAAATCCCCCGAGTACATAGTTGTATATTTTAGTCGTGGGTCCTTCTAGTTGTGGCATGTGGGACGCCGCCTCAGCGTGGCCTGACGAGCAGTGCCATGTCCGCGCCCAGGATCCGAACCAGCAAAACCCTGGGCCGCCATAGCGGAGTGAGAGAACTTAACCACTTGGCCACGGGGCCGGCCCCAAATTACAGTTTTTACAGGTCAAAAGCATTTGAATATCAGAAATTATGTTTCAACCTAATATATATCATCTATTTACTATGTATCATCAAATCTAAGACAAATCACCGTTTGTAAGCTGCAGTGTTATTTTAAGTATCAATGAGAATGGAAAAAAAACACTGTCGATTATAATCAGTAGACACCATTGACTGTAAAACTCATCCCATTTTCAGAAATGTTCAAACGGGGAAAAACATGCAGCTTGGCTCAGTGCAATACGATAGACGCTGCTATGGCCCTCTAAATAACCCTCTATATAGTCTTGCACCCACTCAACAAATATTTATTGGCCACCTCCTCTGTGCCTGGCTCTGCGCCAAGCACTTCACAGGAAGTCTCTTTTCATCCTTACGACCGCACTACTGGGGAGGTGTGATGATGACACCCATTTCACAGCTGAGCAAGCTGAGGCCCAGAGAGGTTGTCCCAGGTCACACAGCAAGGAAGAGGCAGAACTGGGATTCTGAATCCACACAGTCTGGCTCCAGATCGGTGTTCTGGATCATGCTATAAAAGCAGTGACCAAGACAGACTGTGATGTCTGCCCCCGTGGAGCTGACAGACCAGTGGGAAGAGGACAAGATGAGCAAGGAAAACCGACGCATGGTGGGTGGTGATTTCTCTCTTTCTGTGTGTTTTTGCCCCTTTCATCCACTGTGTTCCATCCTCTCTCCCTCAATCCTCCATCCGCCCAGCTGCCCTGCTCCCTCCCCCCGCTGGGGTCTTGGGTACTGGGGATGCTACTTGTAGCTCTGGCAGGTGCCATCTTTGCTTTGAGTCCATGGAACCCTGTCTTATCCCCCGTCACTGTAAGTGTCTGCAGGTCCCAAGGCGCAGAGAGAAAAGGGAATTGCCAGGGTCACTCAAGGAGTCAGGAACAGGTGGCAAGCAACCCAGGTCTGAGTTCCAATCAGAAACTGTCCCTCTCTCTTCGTGTGTCTCTCCAGGGAGCTCTCTTCTCCCATGTCTCTGTGTCTCTGTCCATCTCTTTCCCTGCCTCTGTACCACTATAGTCCCTCCGTCTCCTACTCCCCATGTCCATCTCTCCCCTGCTGTCTTTCCCTTTCCCCCTCTGCCCCTCTCCCCCCCACACTCTCTCTTTTTCTCTCTCCCCGTCTTTCTCTCCTCCCTACTGTCTCCCCCGTCTCTCGCTCTTCTGCCTTTCTCTCCTCGTGACTCTCCCCAACCCCATCTCTCTCTCCTCTGTCGTCTCCCCTCCACCTGCTCTGTCCCATCTCTTTCTCTTCCTTGGCACTCTCTCTCCCTCTGTCTCCCTCTACCCCACTCCTCTCCCACCCCTCATCTCTCTTTCTCCTTCAGCACATCTCTGTATCTAGCGCCCTCCTTCCCTCGGCATCACCGTCTCCCCCAGAACTCTCACATGGAAATTGGAGCCGCAGCTGCTCCCCTCCCCCATGCACTGGTCTCCCCGCTGGTAGGCTGGTCCTGCCCCCTCCCTAGAATAAAGGAAGAGGGTCCTTCAGAGATGAGGGATCCACAGAGAGTTCTTAAGTCCATCTGCCACCCCGTCCCCCTTCTCCATCTCAGTTAGACTCTCCTGTATCACAGTGGAAGATAGACTGGGACCCCAGGGCCCTCCTTTTCTGGCTCCCCACCCACCCGGAAGTTCTCCTTGAGGTCTGACCTCAAGCACTCCAGCTGCCCTAATCCACCCTAGGCTTTCCCACGCCCTGGGGCTGGGATGAACCCCCAGTGTCCGGGTCTGAGCCGGATCTCCCCCGCCGGGGTGGGGCTGAGATTAGGGGGAAAGCCCTCAGGGGACCTGCACCCCCACCCAGGAGGCTGGAATTTCTCCCCTTTCATTTCCTCATTGTCTCTGGAGGAAGGTGTGACAGGGAGCAGAAGGAGGCAGTGTGATGCCAGAAGCCTAGTTTCTAGTCCCTGTCCCCAGCCCAGGACCTCAAACAGCCCCCCAACACTCCGACAGGCTTCTGGTTTTCCATCTCTAAAATGGGGGAGCAGTTGGACCAGCTGATCTGTGAGAACGGGATGGCCAGTGGGGACGCCCCAGGGTGATAAGTTCCCAATTTCCTTCCAGACTGGGAGCCAGCCTGGTGTGGTGTGGGGGGGTCAACATCACCCCAGCAGGAGGGTGTGGTGGGCAAGAAGCAGTTTTGGGGGCCTCTTAGTTCTCCGCTGCTGAGCGAGCGCAGATGTCCTCTTCCCATTGTTCCGATCCAGTGGGAGGAGGCGGCTCGGCTGATGGGGAGGCTGGGGAGATCCTCAGACAATATCTCCATTTCCAGCCCCCCATGTGTTGGCTCTTCCAAGATATGCCCCCAAATGCTGATCACCTCTAGACTGCCCCTCGATTTCTGACACAATTTCCACACCAAACTTCAGACTGAGCCCCAAATAACAATTCCTCCATCCTAGACCCCACCATCCACTTCTGAAGATGCGCCTCCAAAACAGATTTGTGGTCGGTTCCCTTAAATCACGTCCCCAGACTCTGAGCTCTCCGGAGGTTTAGCCGGGGTCCCCCCACTGCCTGGGAGCTTCTGTGTCCGACCTGGTCTCCACCTCCCCCACCAAAAAAGTGACACCCCCAGCCGCCCCGCCTCCACCTCTCAACATTCCCAATCCTTTCCCCAGCCGGCCTGCCCCACCCCACGTGCACCTCACACCTCCACAGCCCCAGCACTGGCCCCTCCCGGGCACCTTGCCAAGCCCCAAAGGCCTGGGGATCCGGGAGTCCCACCCTACAGCTTCAAACCCCAGACCCAGGACTCAGGCACGCTGGGGCCCCTGTAACCCCCACATCTCAGTCTCCTTGGAGAGCTCAACTGTTCCAGCTCCAAACCCCACTCAAGGCCAGAGTCCCCTTCCAATTAGGAACCCAAGCATCCAGACCCCCATAACCCTCTGACTAGGACCCCGCCCCTCCCTCCACTTCACAATTTTGACTATAGAGAGAGCGAGCTAAGGAGGAGTCCTTGCAGCAAGAGGAATGGGAGTTAGACCTAGAGGGGGACTTTCTGTCTTCGGAGGGAATTAAGATATACCCCCATCCTGTCACTCCAGGGCGGCCTTGTCTGAGATGAGACTGGTGAGGACATTAGCAATTACTGGAGGTTGCTGGAAGGAGGGGGGTAGGTGAGAAATCTGAAACCCTCCAGCCTCCAAGCAGAATCCCTGCTGAGGGTCTCTAATAACAATTACACCACTGAAGTTCAGTTCAGAGGGGTGAGGGTCCTAAATACGGATAGGGAGGAATGGCGATCGACCCCTCTCCTGCCAAACCTATTGCTCAATCTCCTGCTTTCACGTTCCCAACTCGGATCCCATTTGGGCTCCCATCTATCTGAGCCCCAACTCTAACCCACCTGTTATTTCAAATTCCCAAAGCCAAACTTCATCTCTAAGCACCTCCATCTTTTACCCTTGAGCACAACCCCTATTTCTGACCTTATCTTAGACTGCTACCTGGATCCTTAGCCCTGAACCCTAATTCTGATTTCTACCCCAGAACCCCCATCTTTAACACTATATTCTAACCCTGAGCTCCCACCTCAGGCTTCCCTTCATGGTGACCTCTCTCTCCTATCTCTTAGTCCCTCTGTTTCCCCCCAGCTTTGAATCTCATTTCCTCATCTCCCAGCTCTGTCCCCTGTCCTGGAGCTCCGATTCTTATCCTTGATTTGTTAATTTTAATCTCTTGGATTTTGGGTCCCTAACACCCAGCCCTCAGGTTTAAGCTATGATCTGACCCTTGCCTAAATTTTCCCGACTCCCATGTAAGCGCTCACTCGGACTAGCCTACCTAAACCGCGCTCGCCTGCCTTACCCTCGGTCCCTGACTCCTACACCTGGTCTTCGTGTCTCTAGTTCCTCAGCTCCTAAACTCTAGTTGGGGCCCCCCTTTGAGCCCCACACCCCGGTCCTTGCTCCCACTTAAGCCCGCACCCTGATTCCTGTCCCCCTCTTCCCGCTCCGCCATCCCCGAGGACACACCTCGCCCGCCTCCGGGTAGTAGCTCCACTCGGCCAGGTCATGGGCCTCCATCTTCACCGAGCCCAGCATCCCCCGGGCCTGCGCCCCCACCCGCCCCCGCTCCGGCCCGGGGGGAATCGAGCGCTTCGGATCTCTCAGCCGGCACGGCCCGAGTTCCGACCGGCGCCCGCCCGTCCGACCGCCCGGGGTCCCAGCCGTCCCGGGCTCCGCGGGAGGCGGCCACGCTTTATAGCCGGGACACCCCCCCCCCCCCCCCCCCGCCCTCACCCGCCCCGGGCTCCCCTCCCGCCTCCCCGAGGGCGGCGCGCTCGGACTGGGGCGCCCCCTGCGGGATTGCGAGGAGATAGACCTCAGGCGCCGGGAGCCGCAGCCCGGGGACGCGAGAGCTGGAGATGGCAGAAGAGGGAGGGTGCTGCTGGTGGGAGGCACTGCTGATGCTAAGGGCCCCGAGGGCAGAACTCTGGCGCCCTTCTGCCCCAGGGGGCTTCATCATCTCGACAGGAGAGAGCGAATAGCCAGAGCGCAGCGTGACCGCCGCAGAGGAAGGGGGCGCAGAGCGCAGTGCGCTCCAGGGGTCCAGATGTGCCAGTAGAAAGACCGGTAAGAGACACTCGAAACCACATTCCTACTGCACGGACTGGAAGACTCAAGCTTCTGACAGCTGGAAATGCTCCAGATGTGTAAATGGTCAGGACCAAAGGTGGAGGGGATCGGGGCCTCTGTTCAGACCCTACTATGGCCGCAGACCACCTCCAAGACGGAGGAGCTTTGCCGCCCGAACTCTCCACCCTTTCCAACACCAGCCGTCCAGGGACTCAGAACCTCTGTGAACTCCATTTCCCAGAAGCCTCTAACTCGCTTTCCGTCCCGCGCCTCTGCCAAAGGACTACATTTCCCAGAAGGGATGGCATCAGAAGGCCGGAAATGAAGTGCTGGCCCGGAGTCGTCATTTGCGGGGGAGGGCGGAAAGCAGCTCTAGCGGCGTGAGGTAGGGGCGGGGTCGGGCCGCGGTGTGGACTGCATTTCCCGGCGACCCTTGCATGTGCAGCGCGTGCGCAGTGGCACAGCGGCGAACGGAAGATGGCGGCGGCGTCTGTGGAGAGGCGCTGCTGAGGGGGCGCGAGGGGGACGGAGGCCGGAGCTGCGGTGAGCGAGGGGCGGCATGGGGGCCCGGGGACGAAAGGAGGAGGGACCCTGAAGCGGCAGGGGCGCCGGCTGGGGGTTGGGGGCGCTGCGAAGAGAGAGGAGCCGTGACGTCCGGGACCTCAGCGTCTTCCCCAGCTCAGGACCCTCCCGGGGCTCCCCAGTGCCCTCAGGGCGAAGTTCCAACGTGGCCCCCGAGGCGCGTCGGCCCGGCCGGCCTCGACTCTGCCTCTTTGCTCCTTCCCCACTTGGCACAGCTGCACCGGCCTTTCGCTTCCTCAAACTCGCCCTGCGACTTCCCGCCGCAGGCCGGTGGCACACGCTGTCTCCCTTTTCCCCATTCCGCCTGGCTACCTCCCATTCATCGCTCGGGGCTCGGCGCCGACGTCACTTCCTCCGCGAAGCCCTCCTTTCCCGCCCTCCGTGCCGAAATCCGCAGGCTCCCCGCTCTCATAGGCCCCCGTTCCTTTCCTTCACGTCACGTGTGGTCTGGTTTGTTATGGGACTTGTATTTGTGTGGCTGTTTGATCGCGGCTGTGCCCGTGAGCTCTAGGGGGCAGAGACTGTGTGGGTGCTGGTCACACCGAAGACGCCCACTTAGTGTTGGTTGAATGAATGAAAGATGCTCGTGGGGCCGCTCGGTGTAAAAGAGGGCAGTCGTCATACTCCCAGGTGGGAGTGGGGCCGTGGGACTCCGTAAGGAGTGCACCAGGAGGGGAAGGAAACAGTGATTGCTGGTGATGGCCAAAGACTGCGAACACCCCGAATGTTCTTTAATAGGGGAGACTGGCAGGAAGGAACTGATGACATCTGCATAATACTATGCAGCTGTAAAAAGAGATGAGGGGGGAGAAATGAGGAAAATCTATCCGCTGATATAGAGAGTGGCCTCTGGCATATGTTAAGTGAAAACAAACGAAGTGGAAGACAGTGTTTATTTTAAGCTCCCTTTTTACCAAAAAAGGGGAAGTATGTGTATATGTTTTTAAAAAAATAAAAGAATAAGCCAAAAAGTGGAAGAGGAAGGACAGAGGGTAAAACATTTTGGTGGATGGCAACGTGTTAGCATCATGAAGAGAGTGGAAGGTTCGTGGTGAAAGGTTCACTGTGTTCTGATGGGGGACGGCGCGTGCTGCTGTCGGGTGGCCGTGCCCCTTGGCGTGCGTAAGCAGACCTGGGGCGGAGAAGCAACTGCTCTCAGACAGGCGTCCCGCCGAGCATGGAGGACTGCGGTGCTGGTCTCCATCTTACCAACCGCGAGCCTTCGGCCCAGTGGCTTTACCTCCCTGGCCTCCAAGTTTCCTCATCTGTAAAATGGAGATTACAGTAGTGCCTGCCTCACAGAGTTGGTGTTGGGGAGGGAGAGGAAATCGAAATCTGAACTAGGGTGGTCAGGGAAGACGTCCACGCCGAGATTTTTGAGTTGAGACCTGAAGGAAATGAGGAGGGAGAGAGCTGTGCCACTGTCTGCGGGGAGGAGGATTCCAGGCAGGAGGAAGAGAAGCTCGACGGCTTTGGGGAAGGGGCGTGTTTGGCGTGTTCAGGGTACACGGAGGCCAGGGCGGCTGGAGCAGAGAGCGGGAAACGAGGGCACAGGTAGAAGTGGCCCGATCGGATAAGGTCTTCTCGGCCTTGGTGAGGACAGTGGCTTCCACTCTAAGCCAAATGTGGGGTGAGTGTCAGCGGGGGGGACTAGGAAGGAGGCTGCTGGACGGTCATTCGTTCAGCACACACCTGGTGAGTGACACCTGTGGACAGTCCATTAAGGTCCTTTTGAAAGACGCATCTTTTTCCTGCTCCTTGAATTATTGTTAATGGTTTACGCGGTTTCCTTCAGATCTTTTCTGTGCACGTAAAAATAGTAGTTCTGCTTCCCTCACGTTTGCTAAGGGTGTTCACTCATCTCCCCCTCAGGATAGTCCTGGGGCGGAAAGACTGTGCCCATCCCTGTTTACAGAAGAGGAAAGAGACCCCGCTGCTCCTCGCCTCAGAGCCTTCTGTCTCTACAGACAGACTGGACGGAAATGGATTGAATCGCATATATTCCTCTGGTGCAACAGGCTGTGGGGACATCTTTTTATGATGATAATACACTGAGATCCACCAAACATTTTTCCCCTTTCCTCCCTCTTCTGCTTTTTGGTTTATCTTTTCAGTTTTCAGTTTTTTTCTTTCTTTAACGTGTGTACGTACTTCCCTTTCTTTTATAAAAAGGGAGCATACTGAAAACACTGCCTTCCACTTTGCTTCTTTTCACTTAATATATGCTGGAGCCCACTGTTTATCAGCGTATAGCGATTTTCCTCATTCTTTTTTATCCCCTCCCTCATTCCTTTCTACAGTCGCATGGTATTTTATTATGTGGATGTATCATAGTTTTTTAGCCAGTCTCCCTATCTAAGAACGCTTGAGTTGCTAATAGTCTTGTGCTATTAGGAATAGTGCTGTAATTGATATCATATCTTTCTTATTTCATACTTTGCCAGTGTGACTTTGGGACAGATGCCCAAAAGTCTGCCCCCTCCTTTTTAAAAACATCTCCATAATATTCCAGGAAATGGCTGAAACATAGCGTACTTGACTCTGCCTTTTCTGACGTCTCAGGTACTCACTGTGTGCAGGACCCTGTGACTGGTGCCCTCAGAACTATGGTTTATGAAGCTTGCTCTGGGGGCTGCCCCGTGGCCGAGTGGTTAAGTTCGTGCTCCGCTGCAGGCGGCCCAGTGTTTCGTCGGTTCGAATCCTGGGCGCGGACATGGCACTGCTCATCAAACCACGCTGAGGCAGCGTCCCACATGCCACAACTAGAAGGACCCACAACTGAAAATACACAACTATGTACCGGGGGGCTTTGGGGAGAAAAATGGAAAAAAAATAAAATCTTTAAAAAAAAATAGCTTGCTCTGGTATCCAGTCCAGAGTGAGCCCAGATGGAGAGAAAGGAAGCACTGAGACCGGCGAGGTGGCTGCCATGCGTTCATTTGTTCAGGATTCAGCAGATGTGTGTGGTCAGCCCCTTATGTGTAAAGTTCTGAAGGCCAGGCTTGGTTCTCCATGAGGTACTGCCTCTGACTTGGGAGACATCGGTCTCCCCGAAATTACAACCATCATGTACACATACAATCTGAGACAGACCCTGCAGGGGGAGGGGCTTCAGAAGACCCAGCAGGGACAGGACAGGCTGGAAAGGAGGGTTGAGCCTTTGTGGATGGCAGGGTGAAGGTCCAGCCCATCACAGGGACCCAGAGCTTGATCTCTCCTCTTCTTCTCCAGGGAGTACCGACAGCAGCCATGGCAGGCAGCAGTGGGGACAGCGTCACTCGCCGGAGCGTGGCATCACAGTTTTTCACACAAGAGGAGGGGCCAGGCATCGATGGCATGACCACCTCAGAGAGAGTGAGCATGGAGAGGGGGGCTTGGAGTGGGGAGGCACAGCCCCTGTCTTTGGGCAATCCCCCCCCGCCCAGGTGTCAGAGCCCAGGAAATGCGAAGGGGCTGGGCTGGCAAGGCTAGCACCATCCTCTGCCTCTCCCTCTCCTTCCAGGTGGTGGATCTCCTCAACCAGGCAGCGCTGATCACCAACGATTCAAAGATCACAGTGCTCAAACAGGTGAGGGGGCAGGCTGATGCTGGGCTAAGCAGGACAAGGGGAGAGGGGATGGGAACCCGTGAGAAAGAAGACATGGAAGTAACACTAGTGTCCACATTGTAGCACTTAGGATATGCCAGCGTGGTGCTCCGTGCTGCACAGGCATGTTCTCCTTCAATTCTCATAAAAGCTCTATGAGGCAGGCAATTTCCTCCCCATTTTATACAGAAAGAAGCAGAGTCTCAGAGCTTAAGGAATTAGTCCAGGGTCGCTCAGCTAGGAGCTGGCTGGACTAGGACTTGAATGCTGGATCCCAACTCCGAATCCTATGCTCTTCATCCCTGTGTTTCCTGTCTGCCGGGGTCCTGTCCAGTGGGGAGGACATGCAGGTCACCAGACAGTGAGGACCCAGAGCGGGCAGGGCTGGCATGGAGGAGCCCAGAGAGGACTCTTGACCCAGCCTAGGGGTAGGGAGTCAGGGAGGGCTTTCTGGAGGAGGGGATATCTGAGCTGAGACAGGAAGAAGAAGGAGAGAAGCAGGCCACGTGAGAGAGGGAGAGCGTCTCAAGCAGAGGGCACAATCGCTTGTGGAAAGGCAGAGACAAGGGGGATTGGGGGGCCTGGGTGTGGTTCAGAGCAGGAGGCAGGTGGAGTTCAGAGGTTCAGAGGTCGGGTTGCCTGAGTGAGAACCCCAGTTCTGCCACTTGCTCAGAGTGTGGCCTTGGGTAGCCGACTCCACCTCAGCAGTAGAGTGGACTGCTGACGGGGCCTCCCTCGTGGGGTGGCTGTGAGGGCCATTCAGCAGCCGCTCTGTGGGTTGTAGGAGCCAGTCCTGTGCTGGCACGAGGCTTCTGTGAGAATGTCTGTGGAACGGCTTGTTCCAGGGAGCCTGGCAGCTACGGGTTCTCACTGTCACAAAATGCGTGCTGAATTGTGGCCGTGTGAAGGGGGAGGAGAAGCGGGAGGAGCGTGGGGAGAACGGATGGACGGGTGAGACAAGGTCACCCCTCAGAGAGGCAGGAGTCCTGCAGCGCTTCCCTGTTTGCTTCAGCCCCTTTCTGGATCACGTACCCTCTATCTGCCAGCACCTGCGTCTCGTAGGATCTTCCTACTGCAGCCTCACAGTAGCCCTGTGAGTTGGTGTTTAAGGTCCCCATTTTACAGAAGAGCGTACTGAGACTCAGGGGAGCCACTTGGCCAGGCCATGGCAGGGAGTGGCAGATTCGAACTGAGTTTGTCTGCTGCCTGCCTCCATGCTCTTTTCCCTACAGGATCCTGTCTGCACTGGTTAGACCTTGGTTTTATATGTGTGTCCCTCCTCCCCATCCCGTCTCCTTCTAGGTCCAGGAACTGATCATCAACAAAGATCCCACACTCTTGGACAACTTCCTGGATGTGAGTGACCGACGGGAGAGAGAGGGTGTGGGTGCAGCGGTGAGGGGATGGATCCTGGTACAGCCTTCACCCACCTTCTTCCTCATGTTGGCAGGAGATCATCGCTTTCCAAGCAGACAAGTCGATTGAAGTGCGCAAATTTGTCATCGGCTTCATCGAGGAGGCATGGTATGGGGTGGCGCAGGGAGCTCCCCACCTCACCTCCGCTTCCCAGACCCCTTCTCCCTCCCATGCACGCTGACTCCCCAGCAAATACTTAAGAAGGTGTAGATCTGGGGCTCATCCACGATTCCTCTGCTTCTCCCACGCTTCACATCCGCGTCATCAGTGAGGACTGTCGCCTCTACCTTCAGAATGTGAACAGCGTCAGACCATTTTTCAGTCACCTCCCTTGCTGTTCGCTGGTCCAAACCATCGCTAACTCCTGCCTGGATGACTTCGGTGGCCTTCTATCTGGTTCCTTGCTTCTACTCTTTTTTTGTTTAATTGAAGTGAAATTCACATAACATTATATTAACTATTTTTAAGTAAATAATTCAGTGGCATTTAGCACATTGACCGCTTAGTTCCAAAACATTTTCATCCCCCCAAAAGAAAACGCTGTACTCATTTTCTGCTTCCTCTCTTGCACACGGCAGCCAGAGTGATCCTTCTAGAATGTAAATCAGACCTGGGCGCTTCCCACTCTCAGACCCCTACTGGCCCACTGGTCCACTTAGGTTGAAACTCAAACCCCTTGCCCTTGCCTCATCTCCTTCTGGAGGCCTGTCTCATCTTTGCTTGTGTCTCCTGGCTTCCCTGTTCCTCAAAAAACTGTTGCCCTTCACAGCCTCTCCATTTGCTGTGCCTGCAAGGGACACTCACGCCCAGAAAGCCACGTGGCTTGCTCCCTCGCTTCCCTCTAGTCTTCCTCAGCGAGCCCTTCCAGGCCATGCCAGTGCAGCCCCACACCCCTGGCACCCCATCTGCGCGTTCTTTATAGTGTTCGCATTAGCTGAAATCACCTTGATGCTTCTCTTCCCCACAAAAATGTCAGCTCCTTGAGGGCAGGACTTTTCTCTCTTGGGACCACTGTATCCCAGTGCCTGGAACAGTGTTGGCACATATGAGGGGCTGCGTACGTATTTGTTGAGCAAGAGTTGAATCAGAATAGTAACCACTGGCAGGCTTGCTCTGCCACGCCCTGTGATAAATCCTCTCTGTTGTCGCCTGTAATCTCAGCAGCCTTGGGGATGGAGACTTTGTGACCCACCTTTAAGGGAAAGAGAAACTGAGGCTCAGGAGGTTGAAGTGACTTGCTCAAGCTGAGTCATGTGTTCCTTAAACATTTGCTGGAGGCTTTGTGGCTGGGAGGAAGTCAAGTAGGCCCTAGTTAGTGTTTTCTGTTCCTCAGGCACTGTGTTACGTGCTCCACCTCCTTTGTTATTCGATCCTCAGAATGACACTGTGGCTTAATTGTTTGGCCCGTTTAACGGAGGACAAACTGTGACTCAGGGAGGTGAAGTGAGTTTCCTAAGGTCACATAGCCAGTGTGTGACAGGGCTGGGATTTTAACCCATGTCTGTAATGCCGTTGTCCAAATTCTCAGTCTCTGCCTTTTACTGGGAGAATTTGTGGTAAGTTTCCTGAGTTTGCAAAGAAAGCTATGTCCTCACCAGATATGTATCACGAGCCTGCTGTTTACCAGGCATTTGTGTCAGGATGTAGAAATACAGCAGTGAGTAAAAACATATTCCAGCCTCCATGTAGCTGACAGTTGAATTTCGTATTTTTTGACTGATTAGCTTGACATTTAATTTCAATATATAACATGCTGTGAAAGTTATATTCTGAGCTCTAGGTGTGGCCTTTCAAATTGCTGTATTCATTGAACAAATATTTATTGAAGGCCTTTGGTTCTTCAACAAAAAAATGAGATTCTGCTAGTACTCAGCCTGCGAAGGGTCCCCCGCTTTCAGAGCCCTCCAACTTAGGTAAACAAGTTAGTAAACAAAACTAGTGATTACATAAAGCAAGTGCCTTGTGGGAATCGTGGCGAATGTCTATTGAATGCTTTCTCTACTGTTCTAACCACTTTATATGTCTACTTGCAATTTTCATGAGTCATGAGGTAGATACTGTTCTAAATGGGACAAAGTTACTATTCTAAAGGAGACAAATTGCCTGCCCAGATTCACACTTATCTGGCTCTGCTGCCCGCTATGTGAACAGCAGGACCCTAAGAGAATGAGAGTGGGGTTGCAGGACCAACCTAGATAGAGAGTTTGGGCGCAGCTCTGTCCAATGGAGCCAGGCATTGTTCTCTGCTTCCTATATGCTGGTAGACAAGACAGGTACGTCCCTGACTTTGCCCACCTCCGTTCCTGTCTCTAGACACACTCACCCTGATTTCCCTTTCCTCGTGGACTCCAGGCTCCCGTCACCTACCCAAAGACCACCTTGACCTTGCCCTTTTTCCTCCCTCCCCCAGCAAGCGAGACATTGAGTTACTGCTGAAACTGATCGCGAACCTCAACATGCTCTTGAGGGACGAGAACGTGAATGTGGTGAAGAAGGCCATCCTCACCATGACCCAGCTCTACAAGGTGGCCCTGCAGGTGAGTGCTCCCTCCCCACGCAGGGGCATCCCGACCTGACAGCTTTCATTTACAGACTCATCTGGTGGAGTTCAAAACCAGGGTCACATCAGATTCTTTATAGGCAAGATGTGCTATTAATCTTTGGGAACAGACAACGAGGGGATTTAACATTGTCTAATGTCCAGAGAGTTGCCATTAACCCATCCTTCCATCCGTTCTTTTATGCATTCAACAAACATTTCCAAGTACCTCTGTGACCAGGATGGGCCGGGTCCTGCCATCATGGTGCTCAGGGCTCAGTGAGGGGGACACCCTAATCAAAGAATCACAGAAATGTTAATTACGGACTGTAGTGAATGCTATAATGGAGAGAAAACCCTGTGGTGTGACTTTTATTAGCATTAATGAAATGAATGAGTCCATTCACTCTCTGCCACCAGCTTGTGAAGTTAGCTTTGTTATTCCTTTGTCTTCCTTAAGATTTGAGCCTTCATCACTCTGGGTTATCACTGTCTGTGAATCTCATGAGGACAGGACCACACCTGCCTTGATCACCACTGGGCCCTGTCCCCAGCATCATGTAGTACAGAGCCGGGAACAGAGTTGTAACTCAGTAAATGTTCCCAAGTGAATGTATTCGTCATCATTTATGCATCTCTGGGTAGTGGTGGAGTTGGCAATAGATGTCTCGTCCCTATCTCTCTGTCTGTCTGTCCATCCCTCCCTGGCCTGCCTGCAGTGGATGGTGAAGTCACGGGTCATCAGTGAGCTCCAGGAGGCCTGCTGGGACATGGTGTCTGCCATGGCTGGGGACATCATCCTGCTGTTGGACTCTGACAATGACGGCATCCGCACCCATGCCATCAAGTTTGTGGAGGGCCTCATTGTCACCCTGTCACCCCGCATGGCTGACTCGGAGGTGCCCCGACGCCAGGAGCATGACATCAGCCTGGACCGCATCCCTCGCGACCATCCCTACATCCAGTACAGTGAGTGCCGCCCATTAGCTGATGTCGTTTGTCAGTCACTGCACAGGCCCCCTTTCCCTGTTCCCATTTTCTCTTGGTTTTTCGTTGTTGGAGACAGTACAGTACAGTGGTGACAACCCTGGCGCTAGGTGCAGATCCCGGCTTCACCGCCTGCTCACTCTGAGCTGGGGCGAGCTGCTTCTCTCCTGACTTCACTTTCTCTCTGTAAAGTGGAGGTGATGGGAGTCCCCTTCACAGGCTTGTAGTGGGGTTCCGTGAGGGCGTGAGCACTTAGTTAATGCTGGCTAGTTTTATGGCTTTCTTCCTTGCAAATTATAAAGCTCGTACGTGCACACGCCTGAAATGTCATGCAGTAAATCTAGAGGGGTGTAAAGGGGAAGCCCCCTCCCCTGGTCCTGCTTCCCAGAGGGAAGTTCTGCTGAGAGTTTTGTTTCCTTCCGGACCTTTTCTATGCAGGGAGAGATAGTTGAATGTTTATAGTCTTAGTTTGCACATTTGTTGGCTCTTGTGTTTGTGAAAAAAAAACAGGATCATGCTTTATATTGTCAGCAGAGAGGCATAGAGTGTGTTTGAATCTCTTCTCTACCATTGGGCAAGCGACCTATTCTCTCTGAGCTTGTTTCGTCATTGATAAATTGGGGGTCATTATTCTGGCATCTACCTTAGGGTGTAGATATGGCATTTGGTGAGTTAATATGGCTGGTAGAGTGAGCATTCCATAAATACTAGCTCTTCTTGTGTATTGTTTGACAGCCGTTTTAACTCAACAGTAATATCTCTAGTTACATCTTTATCTGTCAAAGTCATGTTCATTTCCTACACAATATTCCATAGTATGGTTACATCACATTCTATTAAGCAATCTCTGTTCATAGATTAGCTTTTTTATTCACTATGTCAGCTAATGTGGCGGTCATTATGTTTTTGTATAGGAAAAAAATGTCGAGAAAGATATCCACCAGAGTTAGGTGGGTTAACTTTTGGGGACTGGATGGAGGAGAGTGTTGGTACAAGGCACCTTGAGCTCTGTGTCAATGTGTATATACACATCTATACGCACTCAAGGTTTCATATCAGTGTAGTTCATACAGTTTCCTGTAGTTGAATATTTAACATTATTTCTAGTTTTTTTATTGCGAGCCCATGCTTTGAGCATCCTCATCACTAAATTTTTATACTCATTTATGGTCCATCTCAGGACTCATCAACCACTCAGTTTTCTGTGGTTTTGTCAGCCATTCACGGCTATTCATGTACAAGGGTCTCTCTCCTTTTGGCCCCAGAGGCTGCTCTCTCTGGAGGCCTGGGAAGAAAGGCTCCTGCTACCCGGTTCTCTTCTTTCGCTCATTAGATGTGCTGTGGGAAGAGGGCAAGGCGGCCTTGGAGCAGCTGCTCAAGTTCATGGTGCACCCCGCCATCTCCTCCATCAACCTGACCACGGCCCTCGGCTCCCTCGCCAACATTGCCCGCCAGAGGCCTATGTTCATGTCTGAGGTGATCCAGGCCTATGAGACCCTGCACGGTAGGTTGTCGCCTCTGCTTCCCCTCTCCACTGGCCAGTCTGCTCTTTCCTGAGGACAGGTGAGCTAGGCAGTGGGCCCCTGAGGGATCCATCATCAGTCTAGTAGGTGGTGGACACAAGAAACGATTCTCTGGGACAGACAGGAATCTTTCAGTTGCATGTGACAGAAACCTGGTTCAAAACTGGCTTTAATATTGAGGTATGTGTGGTTGAAATGACATGATGTCTATGAAATACTTTAAAATATTCCAGCTTCCCCCTTCACCAAAAAAAAAAAAAAAGTAGGGAGAATGGCTGTGCCAAGATAAGCAAAATGTTAGTGGGTACACGGTGACTCATTATACTGTTTTTAATACTCTTGTGCATGTGTGAAAACTGAAGAGCCTGGGGCTGAGGCGTGAGTGTGTACAGATCATGGATCTGTCTCCATCTCTTGGCTCTTATTTTCTCCGTGTTGGCTTCATTCTGTGTCTCTTTCCTTTAGGTAGCAAAGATGGCCCCCAATAGCTCCAGGCTTCCATTCTATCCACTTGACAACCCTCCCGAGGAAGGAGAGTGTCTCCTTCCCAGTCATTCCAGCACAAGTCCGCAGGCTGATGCTCATTGTTTCTGATTGGCTGAGAAGAGATTACGAGCCTATGTCTGACCCAATCACGGTGGCCAAAGGATTGCAGTGTTCTTACTGGCCCTGAGTCTCTTGCCCACTTGAACTTAGAATGGAGCCAGGGTGGTTCCCTCAAAGGAGAATGGGAGAGTTGTTGGCCGAGGGAGGGGGAAAGGGTGCTGAGCAGGCAAAATTACAGGTGTCCTCTTTCCCTCTGGAACAGAGGAGGCTCGCTCATCAAGGTGACTGTTAGACATTCGAAAGTCATTGTGGTGGCAGGGACCAAGGACGAACTGTTGCACCAGTTCATCTGGGACATTCTGGAGGTGAAGGTGGTGATTACAGCCTTCCCAGAGGAGGCATGTTGGAATTTCCAGACCAGAGATGGAGGGAGATGAGATTTTATGTTTAATAAAAGGGAGGGTGAGTTTTCTGTTTGTATTAAGGATGACTGAGACTAATGGAGACCTCTCAAGGATTTTAAGCATCAGTTTGTACTGGGGGAAGGCCACACCTTAGATGTGAAGAAACTTTTCTGGGAGATCCTGCAAGACCATTGCCTGTTCTGGGGCTTGGGAAGTGACACTAGCAGGGCCCCGTGAGCTCTGTCCACAGCACAAAGCTCTTGCTTCTATCTTCGCAGCCAACCTGCCCCCGACGCTGGCCAAGTCTCAGGTGAGCAGTGTGCGCAAGAACCTCAAGTTGCACCTGTTGAGTGTGCTGAAGCACCCGGCCTCCCTGGAGTTTCAGGCCCAGATCACCACCCTGCTGGTGGACCTGGGCACGCCTCAGGCTGAGATCGCCCGCAACATGCCCAGCGGCAAGGATGCCCGCAAGCGGCCCCGAGATGACTCAGATTCTGCACTCAAGAAGATGAAGCTGGGTGAGCTGAGGAGCCGGGTCAGGCCTGGCAGGAAGTGGTGGCTGGGACTCAACACATTTAAGATGTTTTATTATTTACATTAAACTTTAAGCTTAATTTATGTTAGCTAATATTGTATTAGAAATTACATTGTATAAATATGATGACGTAGTAAATGATATCAAAATAGAATTGTTAAAGTATGTGATGTACTTAAAAATAATTATAAATTATTTAGATTATACAAAAAGAAATAAAATGAAAATAGTCTCCCTCATCTCCCTCTTATCCCTCTCTCCAAAAGTAATCACTCCCCAGGTGTTAACATTTATGTTTTCTTTGAGAAATGCCCTATATGTGTAGAGTTCTTTCCTTTGTTTCATTTATAAGTGGGTTTTCTTTTTTTTAAAGATTGGCCCTGAGCTAACATCTGTTGCCAATCTCCCTCTTTTTTTTTTCTTCTCCCCAAAGCCCCCCAGTACGTAGTTGTATATTCTAGTTGTAGGTCCTTCTGGCTCTGCTGTGTGGGACCCTGCCTCAGCATGGCCTGATGAGCGGTGCCATGTCCGCACCCAGGATCGGAACCAGTGAAACCCTGGGCTGCTGAAGCGGAGTGTGCGAACTTAACCACTTGGCCTTGGGGCCAGCCCCTATGAGTGGGTTTTCTTACTGAAGTGGTTTTTAATGGTTGTATTAGTTATCAGTAGTGTTAACCATGGCAGCCTTCCTTACTCCAAAAAAATTTTTTTAAATCGGTCATGTCTTTTTCTAGGACATTTACAAAAGAATCTTTTTTTGTTGTTTTCTTCATTTAAAAAAATAAGGAATTTATTTTGCTGTAAGGAGTAAGGTAGGGATCTATGTTTTTGTCCATAGTTAAGCATACAAAGCAGACTGTTCTGTACCTTAATTTGTTTAGTAATCATCTAGGAGCTCTTTCTGTACCTGCACATAGAAATCTAGTGCATCCTTTTAATGGTGGCATCACAGTCTGTAGTGCCCATGGACCACTTTAACCGAGTCTCCCAGGGATGGACATTTCATTTGTGTCCATTTTTTTTAACTATAAAGATTGCTATAGTATAACAGTCTTGGGCACATGTCCAGTCATAGGACAAATTCCAAGTAGTGGAATTGGTGGGGCAAAGGTTTTGTGCGCTTAAGGTCCTTTTTGCCCACCACTTTTATTTTTCTATTTCTTTAAACTTTTTATTTTGAAAGAATTTTGAACTTGCAGACGAGTTACAAGAATAGTCTGGAAAACTCCTGTGTACCCCACAAGTCGGGGATCATACACTGCATGTACTTGTCATGCCCTTTAGTCTCCCAAATTAGGTCCTCAGCCTTCTCTGTTTCACGACCTTGACCTTGTGAAGAGGGCAGGACAGCTGTTGGATATCTGTTTGGGTTTGTCTGCTCTTTTCTCCTGAGCGAATTCAGGCTCTTCGCTTTTGATGTGCAGGAGTGACGCCCTGACTTCCTCGGTGTGGTGTCAGGAGGCGCATGATGTCAGTTTGTCCCATCGTTGGTGGTGGGAATTTGGATCGCTTGGTTGAAGTGGTGTCCCCCAGGTTTCTCGAGTGTAAAGTACCCTTTTTTCCTTTGTAAATAAGAAGTAGGCTGGGGGATGTACTTGAACCTGTGTAAGACACTGGTTCCTCTTCAAACTTCCACCCAGTGGATTTAGCACCCATTGATGATTGGTGCCTGTGTCTATTATTGCTATAATGGTCAAGAAGAGATTTCCTTCTGCATTTAGTAGTTGGCATTCTGCTGTAAGGGAGAGCTTTCTTCTCCCTACTTTATCATCAGTATGGACTTGTGGATTCTTACTGATTCTCAGGGTTATAATCCATTACTGGTGTTATTCATTTTCTTCCTTAGATCGCCTCATATTTAGCCAGCGGGAGTCTTTGAGCTGGCTCCCGTGTCCCTTTAATGTGTCCCATAAGCTTTTTGAGCATTTCTTATTTTCTGGCACAACAAGGTGCTCCAGGCTCATCTTATACTTTCCTTGCCCCAGCCCTGGAATCAGCCATTTTTGTAAGGAGCCCTGGTTTCTTTCAAGTAGGGAGTAGTTTGAGAAATGAAGATCTGATCACTGGATGTGCCCATTGCTACCGGGTGCATTTAAATTCCTGACAGCCTTTGCCAAACTGCTTTCCAAAAACCTGCACAGTGTACACAGCCCAGCAGTGTGTGAGTGCCAGTTACCCACGCCTGCCAGCCCTGACATCCTGTGAACCCTCTGGGCATAAACGGTGTCCTCGGTTTAGATTTGCTTTCTTGCAAGTGTTGGAGTCAGGCTGTGCATTGTTTAAATTTATTAGTCATTTGCATTTCTGTTAAATGCCCCTTCTATTGGGTGGTTCAGCCTGTTGTGATTGAATTCTATCTGCCCTTGGTTAATGCAGGGTATCAGCTCTTGTTACACGTGTTGTAAACTTTTTAAAAAGACTGCGTAACATTTCATCATATTTTTGCCGTAATCTACTTAAATCATCACCCTGTTGAACGTTCCACCTTTTCCACTTTTATAAATACAGCTTCAAGGAACATTTTTGTATATAAAGATTCCTCTCTAAGGTTCAAGTTATTAGTTTGTTTCCTTGAGCTAGAACCACTGTACTTGTCCTCAACCAGCCTGTTACTGATGGAGATCATGTGCCCTTTCTCCGTACAGTCAGTGCTGCAGTGAATTCTCGGTGCATTTTACCTTGGATGTATCTACGAGGAAGTGGGTTTTTCTTTTTCTTTTTGCTTTTTCACCCCAGCCCTCCCAGTACATAGTTGTATATTTTTTAATTGTGGGTCCTTGTAGTTGTGGCATGTGGGGCGCTGCCTCAGCATGGCTTAATGAGCGGTGCCGTGTCCACGCCCGGGATCTGAACCAGTGAAACCCTGGGCTGCCTAAGCGGAGCTCAAACTTAACCACTCGGCCATGGGGCCGGCCCCTGTGAAGAAGTTTTTAGGGTGCGTATCTGGAAGTGGAATTGGTGCATCAAAAGGGGATTTTGGTGTACTATCAAATTGCTTTTCCAAGAGGCCGTTCCCGTTTACGTTTCCACGTTCCATACCTCTACTAATAATTGTCACTATCAACCTTTTTAATCTTTGTAAGTTTATATAGGAGAAATGCTATCTTATTAGATTGTTTTTATAAAGTTTTCCTGATTCCTGATGAGGTTGAGCACTATTTCAAAAGCAGATTTTTAAACAACAAAGCTCTGAAATTAGTTAACATTTTCGTCTTCTTAGGGCTTAGTGTGATCAGCTGGGCTGGTATGGTTCATTCCCATTTCCCAGATGAGGAGAACTGAGGCCTTGAGAGAGGCGGTAGCTCCTCAGGGTCATGTGGCACTTCGACAGCAGAGCCAAGGCCGCAGCCAAGGTCTTCGTTTACTGCACTGCTCCTGTTTGCTGAGGCTGCCTGGAGGCAGGCACCACCCAGGCTCCCTGGGAGGAGGGAGGGCCTGCTGCTCTTTCTAGAGCCAGCATTTTGTCTCTTTCTCTCTCCCAGAGCCCAACCTGGGGGAAGATGACGAGGACAAGGACTTGGAACCAGGCCCATCGGGGACCTCGAAGGCCTCAGCCCAGATCTCAGGCCAGTCGGACACAGACATCACTGCTGAGTTCCTACAGCCTCTGCTGACGCCTGACAACGTGGCCAATCTGGTGAGGACGGGTGGGGGCTGGTTCCCACAGGGCAAGGAGGAAGTGTCTCCAGTCTTTCCTGCCCCTCCACTCCTCACGGTCTGCCTCTTCCACGTGGCAGCAGTCCCACAATGCCTCTCTGTTCTCAGGTCAGGAGGATGTGGTCCAGGGGGCCCTCCTGACTGTGGATGGCCTCTTCTCTGACCTGTAGTCCTTCAGGAGATCACCTGTCACCACCCCCAGCAGTCCCTCTTTGGGTGGTCTGAGGCCCTGTCCAAACCCACTCCGTCTCACTCTCCTCTCCTTTGAAGGGAGAGTCTATTAGCTGGAGAGTGAACCCTGTGAATTGTTTGCCAAGAGCTGTGGGATTGGCATTGGTGGGGCGGGATGGCCAGTGTTTTCCTGGGATTCTCAGAGACACACTGGTTTGAACTGACTGGGGGTTGGGGTCCTCACATCAGCCCTCTGGCTGCAGCAGACCCAGACGTTCCCCCTGGGTGCTCGTGGAGGATGCTTCTTCCCATGCTCGACAGCAGTCGCCCTCAGCCTTCCCTTCTCTCTGCCTAGAGGCTCCAGGGGGCTTAGCTCTTGGGTGAATGGAGTGGAATTTTGTCATGAGGGTGGCAAGAGGGAGTTTTCTCTCCAGCTCAGATCTCTTTGGTGAGCTCCAGGCCTGGATACGTGGCCATCTCCTGCATCATTCTCCCCTTGGGTGTTCCGCGGGCACCTCAGACTCAACACGTCAACACTAAACTTGTGAAATTTCCTCCCGCACTCCTCTGCAGGCCCGTGGCCCCTCCGGTGTTCTTGGCACACCAGCCTCTCAGTTCCCAAGCCACGAACCCGGGAGTTAAGCTCTTTGCCTCCCCCAGTCCTTCCCCGCTTCTTCATCCCGGGGCCCCAGCCCTGTCTGGGAACGCCCTTTCCACTGCTTGCTCCCTGCGGCAGCCAGAGGGATCTTTCTAAAGTACAAGTCAGGACGCTTGCCTGCTCAGATCCCTGCCAGGGCTCTCTGTTTCCTTCCAGGTAACATTTACATCCAGCTTGCCTCGGGCCCTGTCTGAGTTAGCTTCCGTGCACTCGCTGCGCTTTGTCCTCATCACTCCTGGGAAGTTGTCCTTTTCAAATTACTGCTGTGAAGTTGTTCCTAGGATGCTTTTTGTAACACCGGCTGTCTCTGTAGTGATGTGCTGCTTTTTGTCTCACAGTGTCTCCTTACTCTTTCTTGTTTAGTCTTGCCATAGGTTTGCTTGTTTTCAGTCATTTCGAAGAACTGGCACTAAAATTTCGTTGACACTCTTTTGTAGCCTTTTGTTTCCTCTCTGTTGTCTCTCCTTCTTGCTGCCTGCTCTCTGTGACTGTTCTTCCCCAAAGGTTTAAGTTAAATGCCTGGCTTATTAGTTTTCATTCTTATTTCCCAGCGTAAACATTTAAGCATCTGATTTTCCATCTAAGTACCATTTTTGCTGCATCTCACACATTTTTTAGTTGTTTCATTATCTTTCTGTTCTAATTATTTTATTATTTAGAGTATGCGTTTAAACTTCCAAGCATGGAGGGAGTTTGAAATTATCTTTCGTTACCAGTTCCTGACAGACGTGGATGTGCTGTGTCAGGATACTGATTTTCTAAGTCAATGTTAAGTCCTTATGACAGCCTTCACTGGACCCCCTCCCCCTCTCTGGGCAGGGTACCAGCTCTGCTTCCTCTTAGCCTTCCCCCTTGTTGCTGTGCCTGGAATACGTACCCCTCCCACCGCAAGACTTCACCTTGTGCTGGTCCGATTCCTGCCTTCCTCTCAGTTCTCATCTTAGGTGCCCTTCCCCAGGGGGCCAAAGCCATCCCTGGCCCTCCTGGTGTGTCCCATGGCACCCTTTACTTCTCTCGCTCATGCACCACACTGCGTCATTACTCGTATTTTCTCTGACTTTCCTTGGAGTCGGAGCTCCACAAGAGCAGGCCGGGGTCTGTCTTAGTCACTGCCATTTTCCCAGCATTGGCCTGGTCATGAAACGAATGCTTGAATCAGTGAGTAAGGAAAGGCTCCTCTTCCTGGGCATCCGCAGGTCCTCATTAGCATGGTGTACCTGCCCGAGGCCATGCCCGCCTCCTTCCAAGCCATCTATACCCCAGTGGAGTCCGCAGGCACTGAAGCCCAGATCAAGCACCTGGCTCGGCTCATGGCCACCCAGATGACAGCTGCAGGACTGGGGCCAGGTGAGTGTCCCATGGAGCTGACCCTGACCAGGGTTTAGCTCTGTGGCTGCTGGGTTCTCCTTAATGGAATAGCACCTCCTTGTGGTGGTGCAAATGAAAACCACAGGAGATCTTGGGTGTAAATGATTACAGGTCTCAGGTATATTGAGCACTCAGTATTCTCAGGACCTGGGCTTTGAAATCGAGCAGACCTGGGTTTCAGGTCTGAGTTGAACTAGACTGCCTCAGCCACTTGATAGCTCTGTGATTTTGGTCAAATTAGTTAACCTCTCTGAGCCTCAGGCATTTTCCCATTTTAACAGTACTATTGAGGTATAAATTACGTAAAGTGAAACATATAACTCTTTAAGTGTACACCTTAGTGAACACACCAGTGTAACCACCACCCAAATGGAGATATAGACCATTTCCATCACTCTAGAAAGTTCCTTCTTGCTCCTTTCCAGTCAACACTCATGGCATCCCACCTCCAGAGACAACCACTGTTCTGATTTCTGTCTCCATGGATTAGTTTTTCCTGGCCTTGAACTTCATATAAATGGGATCATAGTGAGTCTGGCTCCTTTTGTTCTGCATACGTTTTTGAGATTTGTCCATGTTGTCCTGTGAACCGGACATAAAATAGTTTCTTTTTTAGTTCTCCGTAGTATTCCCTTATGTGAATAGGCCACCATTTGTTTATCCACGCTCCTGTTGATGGACCTATGGGTTGTTTCCAGTTTTTGGCCATTGTGAATCAAGCCGCTGTGAACCTTTGTGTACAAGTGTTTTGATGCCTCATTTATCTTATGTATGTGCCAGGGAGTGGAATTGGGTCACGGGTTAGGGTATGTTCAGTGCTATTAGAAACTGCTCATCAGCTTCCCAAAGTGGCTGTACTATTTGGTCCTCCCATCAGCAGTGAAGGGCATTTCTAATTTGAGCCTCCATTGTTGTATTGCAAAAAGGGGTAGAAAGCATACCTGCTCCCGAAAGGTGATTTGCCGATTTAAATGTCTTGTGTGTACCAGGCTTAGTATTGAGCCTGGCACGCAGGAGGTCCTTGGATGGAAGCAGGTGGGTCTGACATGCCTGGGGCCCGTTGGCTGCCTCCCCCTCAGGCGTGGAGCAGACGAAACAGTGCAAGGAGGAGCCCAAGGAGGAGAAGGTGGTGAAGCCAGAGAGCGTCCTGATCAAGCGGCGCCTGTCAGCCCAGGGCCAGGCCATTTCGGTGGTGGGCTCCCTGAGCTCCATGTCCACGCTGGAGGAGGAGGCGCCCCAGGCCAAGAGGAGGCCAGAACCTATCATCCCTGTCACACAGCCCCGGTGAGTCCCTGTGCAGGGGCTGGTACAGGACTGAGGGCCTGGTTCTTGGTGCGTGTGTGTGTGAGAGAGAGAGACAAAGACATAAACGGAGGTAGGTCTAGACGAGGGTCTCTCTGACTCCGGAGTCAGTGCCATAACCGCTCAGCCGTAGTTTTCCTTTACGTAAAATGCCCCTTTACTTATGTCTAAACTGGGGATCATAGTCTCTCTTTCTCGAAGGATCAAGGGAGAATTAAGTGAGTTCACGGGGATGGTTAGATAATTAGAGTAGGTAACTTGGGGGTGAGAGTGATCGTGATTCCTAAGAGGTAGTGAGTGCTACTGGTTATTACCAGCATCGTCCTGTTGTTACCCCCTTATGGACCACAGAATCCAGCCAGGCTTGCTAATGGGGCCTCGCCTGATCTGCTGCCCCGCCCGGCTCTTGTCCCCCTCGCCCCCTCCTCCAGCCACACCGGCCTCTTGGTGTTTCTTGAGCAACCAAGCAGGCCCCCATTTGACGGCCCTTGCACTTCCTGTTCTCTGCCTGGAGAGTTCATCACCCAGACATTTGTGCATCTTGTCCCCTCGCGTCATTCAGGTTTCCACTCACATCTGCCTCCTCGTAGAAGCCTTCCCTGAGACACCCTTTACAAAAACAGAACGGCTCCCGTGTCCTGTGCCCTGCCGTGCCTCAGCGTCACAGGGGAGTTAGAGACGCAGCCTGGGGGTGTCTCTGTATTGCCTGGATGGGGAGAGTCGCCAGTGGGCCTGGGCTCCAGAAAAGATGTTCCGATTCACTGTGTCCCTGTCTCTGCTACCCTATGTAGGCTGGCAGGCGCCGGTGGGCGCAAGAAAATCTTCCGTCTGAGCGATGTGCTGAAGCCCCTGACTGATGCCCAGGTTGAGGCCATGAAGCTGGGCGCTGTGAAGCGGATCTTGCGGGCTGAGAAGGCTGTGGCCTGCAGCGGGGCGGCCCAGGTGTGCCCCTGTCCCCCAAGCCTGACCTTCCAGTCCTCTTCCCAAGAGCTTGCCTTCCTCCCAGTGAAGAGACGGGCCCCAACGTCAGACCTCTCTGGCTCCAGAGCCCAGCTCTGCCGCTCACCAGCCGCAGGGCCTTGGGCTAGCCCCTTCTCCAAGCCTCACTCTGTCCTCCCCATGACACGGAGACGCTGGCGGCAGCTCCACACGGCTGCTGAGGAGGCAGAAGTGGGTGGACGTGCGTGCACTCTTAGCCAACACACAGCTCGCTGCAAGGAACAGCCCCGCGAGTGGGGGCTGCTGTTGGGCTCGCTCTTCTTGGTGGTTGATGTTATTATTTAGATTCAGACACACCTGGTTTAAATCCTGATTCTGCCGCTTACTGTTGTTGTAACCTCAGTCAAGTGACTTTTTTCCCTTTTTTTTTTTTAAAGATTTTTATTTTTTTCCGTTTTCTCCCCAAAGCCCCCCAGTACATAGTTATGTATTTTTAGTTGTACGTCCGTCTAGTTGTGGCATGTGGGATGCCACCTCAGCATGGCCTGATGAGCGGTGGCATGTTTGTGCCCGGGATTCGAACTGGCAAAACCCTGGGCCACCGAAGCGGAGCATGCAAACTTAACCACTCGGCCAAAGGGCCGGCCCCTTATGTTTTTGAAGTATATATATATATTTTTTTTTTTTGTAATTTTTTTAATTTTTCCTTTTTTCTCCCAAAGCCCCTCAGATACATAGTTGTGTATTTTTAGTTGTGGGTCCTTCTAGTTGTGGCATGTGGGACGCCGCCTCAGCATGGCTTGATGAGCAGTGCCATGTCCGCACCCAGGATTCAAACTGGTGAAGCCCTGAGCCGCTGAAGCACAGCACACGGACCCAACCACTTGGCCACGGGGCCAGCCCCTGAAGTATGTTTTTAATTAACCAAGTAGTACATGAACATACTCTCTCTGTTAAAAAATATTCCCAGGCCATAGAGGTATACCGTAAGTCTTCTTTGGCCCCCACCTGCTTCCCATCCCCTCCCCAGAAGTGACCAGTGCACAAATTAGGAGAACCCTTCAAGATCTTTTCCTGTGTACTGAAGTATGCAGATAATAATCCCAGAAACTCACAGTTTTATTCTGTGATGATTGATTTTTTTTCTCTCTGTTCATTTTTTTTTCACATAAACGGGACCCACTGGGTATAAGGTTCTTCAGCTTCCTTCACATAATGCCGGGTCTGCGATGGGGGTCCCTGAGCCCAAGCAAGGAGTCATGCCTGTGGGCTGTCTGGGATTGCCCATCCTCACACCGACACACACTTGTTCTCCTGTCAGGTGCGCATAAAGATCCTGGCCAGCCTGGTGACACAGTTCGACTCGGGCCTGAAAGCCGAGGTCCTGTCCTTCATCCTGGAGGACGTGCGGGCCCGCCTGGACCTGGCCTTCGCCTGGCTCTACCAGGAGTACAATGCCTACCTGGCAGCCGGTGCCTCGGGCACCCTGGACAAGTACGAGGACTGCCTCATCCGCCTGCTCTCCGGCCTGCAGGAGAAGCCAGACCAGAAGGATGGGTGAGAGGGACAGCCCTGCACCCTCCTGTCCCCAGCAGTCTCCCCTCCTGTGTCCTGCCTTTCCTTTCTGGCTTCTCACCACCTCCCTCTTCGTCACCAGCAGCCTCAGTTCTCCGTGCGTCCGTCCCAAGTCTCCCTCTCTCCCACTCTCTGGAGTCACAAACAAGGTAGCTTCAGTGTGGGCTCTGGCCCCCGCGCCCTGGGCCTGCTTCCAGCTCTGCCACTTGCTCTCTGACTGACCTGCGTCACTCACCTCTGGGCCTCCAGTTTCTCATCTTAAATATAGGAGTACCTGCTGCATAGGCTTATTTTGGAGGTTGGCTTCCCTCCATCCCCGTCTCTTGCCTGAATTGGTTCTGTCACTTCCTCTTTGTTCTCAGCCTCCAGCTTATCTCTCCATTCTCCACACAGTGGTTGGGTGACATTGTACAATGTAAATCCTGTCTTGTCACTTCCCTACTAAAAGCTTTCCGTGGTTCTCCATTGCTCTTTGAATAAAATGCAGCCTCCTTGCTATACCTGGCGAGACCTTGTGTAATCCAATCCCTACCGGCCTCTTTAGCCTCTTTTTCTGCCCCTCTGCCCCTCACTACACCCAAACTTTAGCTACACTGGCTTTCTCTCTGTTTCTTGAACATGCTGAGTTTAAGGCTTGACACTGACTGTTCTCTCTGCCTACAGTGCTCTCCCGCCCACTCTTTGTATGGCTGGCTCCTTCTCATCCCCCAGTGTCGACTCACTTGTTAGCTCAGAGTGGCCTTTTGTGGCTACCACATCTGAAACAGCAGTACCCTCCCCAGTGCCCGTCACTCCCCGTGCCGCTGTGTTGACTGAGTGAGGTTAGGAACCCCCGTCTGACGAAGGGGAGAAGCTGAGTCTCCGCGGGGTCCAGTCTCTGCGCGGGTCGTCCGCTGCAGTGTTTGCACCCTGCCCTGCTCCCTCCACAGGTCTGGAACCAGAGCTTGAGCGAGTGGCCTGTGAGGGAGGCCCTGGCAGCTCTCCGTGCTCACCATTCAACGGCCCCTCCTCAGCCGTTCCCTGTCCCTCCCTCTCTGGCAGGATCTTCACCAAGGTTGTGCTGGAGGCGCCGCTGATCACCGAGAGTGCCCTGGAGGTGATTCGCAAGTACTGTGAGGATGAGGTGAGGACCGGCTGTGTCCCGTGCCGTGCGTCACCGTGCCGGTGGGAGCCCTGCTTGCTACAGCCGGTGGCAGGGGTCAGGACCCTGCCTTGGGGGGTCTGAGGGCACACAGCATAGGCCCTGTGGCAGTGGGGTCTGTGAGGCACTAGGCCCTTCTGTCCAGTACCCGATATGAGCGGGGCAGGGAGACACCCCAAAGGCACCCTGCAGGTAGACTGAGCTCCGGGTCCCTCCTGCCACAGAGTCGCACCTACCTGGGCATGTCCACTCTCCGAGACCTGATCTTCAAGCGCCCGTCCCGCCAGTTCCAGTACCTGCATGTCCTGCTCGACCTCAGCTCCCATGAGAAGGACAAGGTGATCCCCTGCCACCTTCTACTGGGCCACGCTCAGCCCTTCTTCTGTCCTGAGTAACCAGCTCAGCCTCTTACACACTGCCCTGAAAGTTCCTCTCTGGGCCTAATACCCTCCTTGCAACAGGGTTTTGGTGGTTCTTTTTCCATGTTTGATGGCATGAAGCTGCTTAGAATATACACACACACGTACCTTCATGCTCCCAGGAAGGGCAGTTCTGTTCTTGCTCTTGTCCATCATGTTGCTGAGCCCTTTTTAAGGCCTGGCACTGTGCCGGGACCTGTAGGATGCTGACCAGGAAAGGAGCCATTGTGACCCATCAGCAGGCAGTGAGCACACAGCATGCTTGGTGCCAGGAGTGGAGCAAGCACCTGTGGCTGCGGGAGCCCTGGGGAGGAGCCTGACCCATCCGATGGGAGGATAGGTGGGGAGGTGCTTTACTGGAGGCTTCTGGAGGAGCGGACTCGTGAGCCAAGGCTTGAGATCTGAGTATATGGGTGTGCTCTGGCCAGAGGGAGCATGTGTGCATGTGTGTGACCAGAGGGCCCTTGACCCATCCCTGCTCGGGTCTTTTGCCAGCTCCTTTCCCGGTGTCATGTGTCCATTCGTTCAGCAAACCCTCACTGCACACTCTGGCTCACCCTGTGGTGCTCTTGAGGACAGAGCAGCGCCCAAGACCAGCCCCTGACCTCCTGGCTCCCAGCAGGGGATGTCTCAGTGAAACAGGATATGGCCTGTGACAGGCATTCCAGGCAGTGGGAACCCTTTGTGCCAAGTCTCAGCCAGGAAGAATGCCATCACTTTTGAGGAACTGAGGAAAGCTTGTTCTGGGTGGAGCATAGCAAGCAAGGCAAGAAAGGATAAGAGGTGGGGCTGAGCAGGTAGATGGGGAGGTGATGCAGGGCCCCGAGTTGGGCAGGAGACCTCTCTTGAGCCGATGACCAGCCTTGGGCACAGCCGGGCTGGGCCCTTTTCAAGCCTGGGCTTGTTTTCACACTGGTGCTGCCAGGCCCAGGACGGCTGTCTCCCCCGCTACCATCTTGCCCCAACTCTGTCCTCAGGTGCGTTCCCAGGCCCTGCTATTCATCAAGCGCATGTACGAGAAGGAACAGCTGCGAGAGTACGTGGAGAAATTTGCCCTCAACTACCTGCAGCTCTTGGTCCACCCCAACCCGCCGTCTGTGCTGTTTGGAGCTGACAAGGACACAGGTTCGCTGCAGGTTCATCAGATGCTGCGTGCTGAGCACCTGCTGTGTCCTGGGCCTCGGGCAGGGCCCTGGGAACAGAGCTGGATAGAAGCTGAGCCCTGCCCAGTCCACTAGGGAAGACAGCCAGACAGTAATAGCAGGCCTGGGGTGGCGAAACCAGGGCGCTGCAGGAGCCCAGAGGGGCGCCTGGCCTAGCCTGAGGGGTCAGAGAGAGTGTCCTGGAGGAGGGGACAAGGAGAGCTAGCCAGTGATGGGGCTCCAGGAACCGCCAGGCAGGATCACGGCAGCCCAGCCTGTTCCCTCCGCAAAGCCCTGGGTCCCCCACAGTTACAGATGAGGAAATGCAGACCCCAAGGGAGTGGACCATTAAATTGGAAGGTTCCGTCTGTGGCGGGAAGCACAGGGCTTTCTGGGAGCCCAGGAGCACTGACACAGCCTGGGTCCCGGGAAAGCTTCCCAAGAGAGGTGCTGGCTGCGTGAGACCCCCGAGGATGAGGACGTACAAAAAGAGGAGTTGGGCAGTGGCATTCCAGGCAAAGGAGCAGCATGTGCAGAGGCTCTGAAGTGGGGGCCCTGGAGGGGCTGTCAGAAGTTGGGTGTGACCAGAGCACACAGCCCCAGGGGCGGGGCTGCCCCAAGCCTGGCCTAGCATGTAGAACAAGGTGAGGAGCTGAGGATTTATCCCTAGGGCACAGGGCAGTCACGGGAGCACTGAGCAGGAGGAGGACAGGGTCAGAGCTGCGCTTGGGAAAGACCTCTCTGGCTGCCCTGTGCGTCAGTGGTCAGAAGAGACAAGACAGAAATTAGTACAGAGGCTTCTAAAAGGAGAGCAGTCTTGATCCCGCCCTGTTTCCCTTATGATTGGCTTCCTGCCCCCGAACAGTCTGCTCCCCAGGCCCGGCTCCTTTCTGCTTTCCCTGCCGGAAGGGACAGACATTGGGGCCGGGGGGAGTGGGAGGGGAGTGGGCCAGCCTGATCCCCGCCCCCTGCCCTCCCAGAGGTGGCAGCGCCTTGGACCGAGGAGACAGTCAAGCAGTGTCTGTACCTCTACCTGGCCCTCCTGCCTCAGAACCACAAGCTGATCCATGAGCTGGCGGCCGTGTACACTGAGGCCATCGCCGACATCAAGCGGACAGTGCTAAGGGTCATCGAACAGCCGGTGAGGCCCCTGAGCCACCAGGCTCTGCCTACCCATGGGCCCTTCCCCGCTATCTCCACCTCGGGGTGTGCTGAGCACAAGGGCTTGTCATCCCGGGCTGAGCAGCTCTGTTGCTGGCGGGTGGTCCACACGGCCATCTGTCTGCTCGTGAGAAGACATCAGGGGAGCGGGCCCGCCATTGCGAGCCTGGAGGTGGACACGCCTGGCCTCCCATTCTGCCTGTCACTTTCTCACTGTGTGAACTTGCGCTCCTGCAGTGAAAGTGGGGAAGATAATTCAGTCCCCCAGCCTGTTGCAGGGATTCTGGGAACTCGAGCTCGTGAACAGCTGTCCCTGTGGTCACCTAGGAGCTGGCTCTCCCCTGCCTTGCTGATGCGAGTCTCGAGTTGCCATTGCATAAGTCCCTCCTGCTCCTCTTCTTGGAGCCACAGGGTCACCCACATGAGAAGCAACTCAGTTGCGAAGTAGCACCTAAAACTCAGAATGTCTGCCTTCCAATTTCCAGCTGGATTTGAAGCCACCTTTTTGTATCTCTGTCTCTGACATGCTTTTATTACGGAAAGTTTCCAAGATAAACAAACGAGGAAAGCATGGGATGTTCATTCCCGCATACCTGCCGCCCAGATTCAACGGTGTCCTCACCTGTAACATGGGGATAATAGGCTCATTGTGTGGAGAAGCAGATTTTTCTCCCCATGTTCGAGTTGAACCCGCTGGGCCGTGAACTCCTCGAGGGCAGAGACTGTCAGTGCTTATCGGGAAAGGAAGGCGGGAAGCCCTGACCCCGGCCCTCCGCTCCCGGCTCTTGCCTCACGGGGGCAGGTGCACACGCAGCAGCCGGTGGAGCCCGGGTTGGAGCAGGCAGCCAGGCTTGGGCGCTGGCAGTCACAGAAGGGGGTGGGTGGGGTCACTGATGCCTGAAGCCAGAATTGAAGGACAGGCTGGGCATTAAGGGCCAGCTTAGGTCAGAGACAGCAGAGAGAAGGCAGGGCCTGCCCAGTAGGAGGTGAGCCCTGGTGAGGGCTCAGGAGCTGCAGTGAGTGTATCCGTGTGAGACTGGGTGGAAGAGACCGAGATGCTTCTGCCCCACCCCTCGCCCACCTGCCCCAGGTTTCTCCTGCTTCTCTAACCCTGTCACCAGTTCTCCGCCCTACCTCAGTTTTATGGAGATGTAATTAACATATAACATTGTATTAGTTTCAAGTGTGCAACATAATGATTTCATATGGGAAATGATTACCACAAATAAGTTTAGTTAACCTCCATCACCTCACATAGTTAGTTTTTTTTCTAGTGGTGAAAACTTTTAAGATCTACTCTGTCATCAGCAGAGAGTCCCAGCATCCCCCCAGCCACCCTGCCCCCAACACCTGGGCCTCCTGGAGCTCCCACCCTGGGCCCCCTTGTCCTCACATTGCCCAGGCGTTCCCTGTCATCCCTCTCTCTACCTCTAGATCCGAGGAATGGGCATGAACTCGCCAGAGCTGCTCCTGCTGGTGGAAAATTGTCCCAAGGGGGCAGAGACGCTGGTCACACGGTGTCTGCACAGCCTCACAGACAAAGGTGCCCCCCACCACCTGGGGACCCCCACCTGTCTTCCTTTTCCTCCATCGCCCTTTCCCACTTCCCCTTCCCAGACCTGGAGATCAGAGCTGCTGGGTCCCCAGATGCGTGGACCTCTTGTGGGTCTCTCCCCATCCTTGGGCCTCAGTTTCTCCATCTGGAACAGTGTGTTGCTAACTGCATTTGAGAAACCAGGGGCCAAGGATTCCTCCTCTGAGATGAGCTGTCCCTCCCCTGCCACACACCCACCACCATTTCTGCCCCTCTCCGTGCTCACCCACATCCCCGACACCATGCCTCCTGCTTGTCTCCCTGCAGTCCCACCCTCCCCGGAGCTGGTGAAGCGGGTCCGGGATCTCTACCACAAGCGACTGCCAGACGTCCGCTTCCTCATCCCTGTGCTCAATGGGCTGGAGAAGGTACGCCCGCTGCCCCCACCGACGGGGACAGGGCGGAGGCAGGTGCCCAGGTGCCCGTGTGGGTGCTTAGGAGCACATTCCCAGGACTTAGATCAGAAATCAGTCTCAGCTCTGCCTCGTCCTCCTACGTGACCTCAAGCAAGCCACTTCCCTAATCACAGCCTTGGTTTCCTCCTCTGTCAAGTGAGGATCACAGTGACTCACACACGCACGCACACCACAACCGTCCTGAGGCCTAAACAGAAGCTCAGGGGCAGCGCTGTTCCAGTGCATGGGAAGCACCTCCCTTGAGCATGGGCTTCCCCTGCCCAGGTCTTGTTCCCAACAAGCTGTGGGCCCTTGGGTGAGCCCATCTCCTCATACGTAAAGAGGGGACAGTGATAACACTTTCCACTTGCAGGGGGAGTTGGCGTGCTAGCTTGGGGGAAGGGGGTGTGTGACACGGAAGGGACTCAGATGGGGAGTGGTGAGGCTGGGACTGAGACCCAGTGAGTTAGGGAGAAAGTTCAGCTCTGAGGGACAGAGGGAGTGAGAGGAGGAAAGCATGGCAGGGACTTGGTGAGGCCCTTGTTGCCCCTCGCCTCTGCAGGGCGAATGGAGAGGCTCATCTGGAGGAGGAGGGCGTATCTGACCCTCTCCCCGGCCCTCCCGCTGTAGAAAGAAGTGATCCAGGCCCTGCCAAAGCTCATCAAGCTCAACCCCATCGTGGTGAAAGAGGTCTTCAACCGCCTGCTGGGCACGCAGCACGGTAGGTGCTATGCTCCCCTCCCCACGAGGGGCCAGCTCAGCCCTGGCCCTCAGTTTCCCTCCCCTTGGCTCTCTGTGCCCCAGCTACCCCGGAGGCCCTGCCTCAGGTGGTCGGGCAGGAGGAAGGGGTCCCAGAGGTGAGGTGTGGAGTACTGGGGGAGGCTGTCTGATGCCACCTTTAGGGAGAAAAGGGCTCACCCTGCCCCCTGGGGCTACCATCCTGACTTGGCGGTAGCTGGGCATCCGTCCTAAAGTTTCCAGGCCGCCCCCCCGCGATGTTTGGATGATGGTTTCGTCCACAGCGCAGGCAAAATATGGAGCTGGGGGCTGACCCCAGTAAGAGTCTTCCCTTCTCCCCGGGACGCAGTCTCCCTCAGGCACGGGCTCCACTCCAGCCCTCCCTTAGCTCTTGGCTGAGCTCTGAAGCTGTGCTGCGGGGCATTTTGTTTGACATGCTCAAAAAGAAACAATGAAACTGTCAACTTAGAAAGACTGCCAAGTGATATGGGATGGATTCCTGGGCCCTCGCTGCAGTGGGTGGAGCTGGGGAGGCTGCCTGTTCCACACGTAACCTGGTGATTTAAGACGCACGAGTGTCTGGGACCCTCAGAACAGCACCGGCAGAGCCGTGTCCCCCTGCCACCTGCACCGCAGCATGCAGTCTCACGCTGTTTGCACGTCTCTTGCCTGGCCCAGCCTGTCCTGTCCAGCAGATGCCCGTGAGCATCTCTGCTGGGGTCAGTGCTGGGGACCTGGCTGAGCTCGTCCTGCCTTGCCCCGCCCTGCCCTGCGCTCATGGGTGTTCAGCCCAGTGCTGGGAGAGAATTGGCTCAGTTGCTGCTCTGATGAGGGTGGGAACCCTGTGTGTGGTGGGGGAGAGCGGGTGAAGGCCTCGGGTGGTGAGAGAAGGCTTCCCAGAGGGGATGGCTTTCCAGCCGCTGCCTCATTCGGTCCCTTCTCTGTGCTCTCAGTTTCTTCCTTCCCATGCTCTAGCCCCTTGTCCCCCAGTCCCATGGAAGCGGAGGGCACCTCCTCTTCACCCCCCGCTCCCCCAGTCAGGGGACTGGGCCCATCTCTTCACCTCGGCTTCCCTGCTGTCTCCTCCCCCGCCCTCACTCCCGCCCACTGCAGGCGAAGGGAACTCGGCCCTGTCCCCCCTGAACCCCGGAGAGCTTCTGATCGCATTACACAACATCGACTCAGTGAAGTGTGACATGAAGTCTATCATCAAAGGTGAGGCGCTCCCCGACCCCCCTTAAGTGGCCTGGCTGCTGCAGACCCAGGGAAGTCACCCACATGGCCCCGCTGGAATCTGCCAAGTCGGAGATTGTGCCACGTGCAGCCCCACCTCCCACCTCGTTCCCTCCCTCCCTCCTCCTCTCCTTCCTTCCTTCTTCCTCCTGTCTGAGGAACTGGTGCATGTGCTGTGCACTGGCACAGAGTAGTCCTCAAGAGAGGTGGGAGCCCTCTCTTCCCCAGCCCCGGCCGAGAACAAAGGCAGCAGAGCCCACTGCCGAGCAGGGGCCAGAGGCACAGCCAGCAGAGCAGATGGAGTGCCCCAGGCAGGTGCTGGACCAGGAGTAGATGCCTATCTAGTCTGGGCCAGAGCTGAGGCAGGAGAGCATGTCCCCAGGGGCTTTGGGGACAAACTAGCCAGCTCACCACAGTCAGTGGTTTCGCAGTAGCCACTGTTGCTTTACCGAGACTTGCTCTGAGCCAGGCTCTCCTAAGTGCCTTTCAGGCCGGCTGCCGATCCGCACCACCCGTCACCTGGTGAGTATGCTGACTTTCCGTTTTGTAGATGAGGAAATGAAGGTTCCAGAGAGGTTAAGTAACTTGCTCAGGGCCACACAGAAGCTAAGTGGTGCAGTGTGAAAAACAGAATCTGAAGCCAGGTGGATCCAAGTTGGAATCCTAGCTCTGCCGGTCCGGCCCGCATATGGCCCCCTGGGTGTGAGGGCGCCTCCCGTGGGAAGAGCTCTCGCCCTCAGCTCTCCGCAGGATTCCCGCCGCTCCCTCCCTGAGGGGAGGTTTCTGGTCCAGAAGCCGTGCTTTCCCTTGGAGCTGGACGCCCTTTCTGTCGCCTGCTCTACTCAGAGGACAGCCGTCCTTGGTCCCTCCTTTACGTGTGGGGCGGGGGTTCCTTCCTTGCTACTTAGTTTCTTGTCTAGCCTGAAATAGCTCGTTCAGTGACTTATTTCCTAGCCTTCCTCGCAAGGTCTCTCAGAAACTTGAGGTCAAGAGAAGAACTTAAGGGGCCGGCACGGTGATGTAGTGGTTAAGTTCGTGCGCTCCGCATCAGTGTCCCAGGGTTCGCGGGTTCAGATCCCAGGCATGGACGTACACACTGCTCATCAAGCCATGGTGTGGCAGCATCCCACATACAAAATAGAGGAAGATTGGCACAAATGGTAGCTTGGGGCCAATCTTCCTCACCAAAAAAAGGAAGAACTTAGGAAAATCTAAAACCCACACTACAGCTGAGGAGGACCTAAGGCCTCCAGCGGAAGAGCAGTAAAGTGAAAAGGCTCTTGAAGCTCAGAGTCCAGGAGTGGTCTTTTTACACACCTCGGCCCCTTTGACAACCTCAGGAAAGTTATGGCCCATTCCCAAAGACTGTAGGCTCACACGGTTTTGCATACCATCTGAGGGAATTCACAGACCCCACCGCCCCACTGAGCTGAGCCCACTCATGGACCCAGATTTAGCCCCTGATCTTACACAGGGGAACCAAGGCCCAGGGGGGAAAAGGGCCCCACGGGTCACACGGGCGCCAGTGGCTAGGCGCCTGGAGATGCTGGCGAGGCCTGGCCTTTAGAAGCCCCTGTTTCCCACACACAGCCTCCATACTGCCGAGTTCTCAGCAGCCCCCCCCCCCCCCCACCGGGCTCCCTGCCAGCTCTTCATCCCCAGCACTCACTCCAGCCAGCCTCCAGAGCATGTGTCTCTGCTCGGGCGCCAGTGGTTTTCCTGGTGACAATAGTGACCCCACTCGAGTCTAAGCTCCAGATCCGTAGTTCAGCCCTGCTTTGCACCGTGGGAATCCCAGTGCTAGAGAGTGTAAGCAGTCATTCCTGGGACTCACTCCCCCTTAAACCACCTCCCTTCCCTGGTGAGTTTTCTCTACCTTGACCTGCCGCCAGTGGTCTCGTCCAGCAATTAAGAGAACTCACTTAGCACCTCTGCTCAGCCCTGTGCTGGGAACACAGCAGGGATGGAGACAGCCCTGGCCCTCCCCCCCGCACCCCCACCCCCACCCCGGGGCTCACAGTCCATCCCCAGACAGTAACAACCCAGAGTGGCCGGGGCTGCAACAGCAGAGCCCAGAGGGGACACCTGAGCTGAAACCACAGAAGGATGACTGGAGGTGAGGTAGCAGGGGAGAAGATGATCCCAGAGAAAGGAAGACCATTTGCAGAGGCCAAGAGATGCGTTAGTGTGGCCTGGTTCTGGAAATGCAGAGGTGGGCCTGGCCAGAGCTTTTGGTCTGGGAGAGGGGGCCTGGTCAAGAGATGAGGTCAGGCTGGGAACATTGAGAAAACTGTGCCTGGGCTCCGCCCACATAGGGTCTGTAGGCCACAGTGGGAGTTTGGATGTGATGTCGAGGGCCTCTGGGAAGGCCTTTGGAAGCCCCCTCAGGCTGCAGTCTGGAGGGTGGCTTAGAGGGCAGGATGGGAGGCCCAGGAGGAGGCTGGGGCAGAGCCGAGGGGAGGAGAAGCAGGGGGTGATGGTAGCGGCTCCCCGAAGTGAGCAGTGAGGAGCAGCGGGAGAGGGAGGAGCTGCTTCCGGTTCTGGCAGGTCCTCTGGCACTTTCACCTTCGGCACTCCCTTCTGCCCCTTCAGCCTAACGACCCGCCTTGCCTCCCCCCACCCTCCACCCTCCAGCCTCCCCTCTGCCTGTCTGCCTGTAATACCTCCATCCTCCCTTTTCCTTCTGGGACCCCCTTCCGTATAGCACCCACCCCTGTTCTCCATTAGCCTCAAGGATTGGGGGCCTCTCTCCTGGCTCAATAAAGACTTCCTGGTTGATGGACTCACATGGCAAGTGGTGTTTGGGGAAGAAGGGGTTCAGAGGCAGTTCCTGGGGTGTCCCTGTTAGCATGTGGATCAGAGCACTGCCGATCCCACTGACCTGGGGGTACCACGACCCACTCCTGAGGGAACAGACCCCAAGGCCTGCGCTGCTCTGCCTGCCCTCGTGGGTGCCCGTCTTGTGCCGGCGCTCCTTGGGCCCCTGCTGGCACTGGGTGCAGAGCCGGGAGCTCACGCCCAGCCCTCCTCCTCTCGCCCCTCCCTCCCTTATTACTCTCCAGACTTTGCCTCCCACGTAACCCAAGGCCTGGTATCCCCCCAGCACCAGCGCAAGCCCTTATGCCCCGTCAGTGTTGGGAGCGGGCAGTTCCTTGACCAGCCTGCTGGTGGAAGGCCATCTCCTCTGTCCTCTAGGGACTTCAAAGCTGCCTTCTCTCTCCAGTCTGGGTGGAGGTGCCATGCTGCCCTGGTGAAGCGCAATGGCTCCTTAGGGGTTGGCCATGTATCTTTCCCACCTCACCCTTTCTGAGGGTTGTCCCCAAAGAGAAAGGGCCAAGGTCTGCCCACTCTGCCCAGTGTGGGACTTCCTGAAACTGGGCATGTCTTTTCCCTTGGACCAAGCCCCCAGGCTTCCCAAGGCCCAGGCCACAGTGTCCCCTCAGACAGAGACCTGCTGGGTGAGGGAAGTCTCCTGTCTTGCCTGGAGCTTCAGCAAGTCAGGGCTGGGTCTCCCGTCACACGGGCAGATAATGGGGCGGAGGCTCTCTATGGGGGGTGGGCTCCCACCTCCCAGGGGGCAGCTGGGCAAAGAGGACAGGCCCACTCTCCGCCTCCTCGCAGCCACCAACCTGTGCTTTGCGGAGCGGAACGTGTACACATCGGAGGTGCTGGCCGTGGTGATGCAGCAGCTGATGGAGCAGAGTCCCCTGCCCATGCTGCTCATGAGGACCGTCATCCAGTCCCTGACCATGTACCCCCGCCTGGGGGGCTTCGTCATGAACATCCTGTCCCGCCTCATCATGAAGCAGGTAACCTGCCCCGGCCACCCCAGTCCCACGGGCAGTGGGCTGCAGCAGGACACACTCAAGACAGATTGAGGCAGAGCCCTAGGTTTTTCCGGCCTGCTTACCACCCATCCCCAGGATGAGGAGAGCAAGCTGTACCGAGACCAGCCAGCCCCTTGCCCTGCCCTCGGCCGAGGCAGTACAGCGCTCCAGGGGTCGCCTACTCAGACAGCTAAGGGTGGCAGTGTGAGGAGTGAGGGCGGCTGGGCGGTAGGAGCAGACAGTAGACTTCAGGGGGTGCATCCCAGGAAAGGCGTGGCTGCCTCTTGTGCCCCCCACATACAACCAGCCAGGGTGCATATGAGAGCCGAAAGATGGTCCCGTCTTTCAAGAGAAGCTAGAAATGAGTTTTTAGAAATGCCACAATGAAACAAAACCCCTCAGACTGGATTCAGCCCCAGGCTGCCCCTTCGCAGTATCTGGCTTAGAGGTTAAATGCCGACTCAGACAGACTTGGGTTCAAACCTGAGTTCTGCCCCTTGGTACCCGTGTGACCCTGGATGAGTCCCTGCACCTCCCTGGGCCATGTGTGACTAGCAGGGCTCACGTCGCCCCCTGGAGGCTGCTGTGAGAATGAAATGAGCCGGTGCTGACAAAGCCCTTAGCCTGGGCCCGGCCTAGGGAGCCCCCTGTGTAAGGGCCACTCTCAGTTTTCTTCTCCCATTTTCCCAAGTTCCCCTCACGTCCCAGCTGCTTGGGGTCAGGAAAAAGTCAGAAAGTCCTCTGGAGGGAGGAGCCCAGAGGAATCTGTTGGATGATAGGGATTAGGACCCCATCTTGGCAAAGTCTTTCTCCCAGTTTCTGGGGGGCTGCCCGTGTGCCCCCTCACACCTGCTCCCTCCCCGCCCCATCCAGGTGTGGAAGTACCCCAAGGTGTGGGAGGGCTTCATCAAGTGCTGTCAGCGCACCAAGCCCCAGAGCTTCCAGGTCATCCTGCAGCTGCCGCCCCAGCAGCTGGGCGCCGTCTTTGACAAGTGCCCCGAGCTCCGGGAGCCCCTGCTGGCCCACGTCCGCTCCTTCACCCCCCACCAGGTACCCCAGGGTGTGGGGTGGGTGGCCTCCAGCCCTGGGGCACTGGATGGGGGTGGGCAGAGGGGAGCCCTGCACTGCCACAAAAGGCTAGGGGCTGTGGAGGGTCAGGGATGTGGGGTACCCACCAGGTGTCTCTGGGCCAGAGCTCTCCTTAGCACCCCCATCCTTCTCTTCTCCTAGCAAGCACACATCCCCAACTCCATCATGGCCATCCTGGAGGCCAGCGGCAAGCAGGAGCCAGAGGCCAAGGAAGCACCCACTGGGCCCCTAGAAGAGGTGAGGGCCTGCAGCACCCCCCACCCCCAAGCCAGCAAGCCCCACGGGTCCTCCTCCCCACCCAGCCCTCTGTCTCTGCGGGACGGCTTCTGCTGCGAGCGGGCTGGGGAGACAGTTGTCCCTTACTCCCTGTGCCCACCCTGCTGTCTGCCTTAGGCTGGTGGCTGTCTCTCCTTTCCCACCATCCTCTGAGAGCAGCCTGGGTCCCAGCCTCCGCCCATCTCTTAGCTTCAGTGTGCCCCTCCCCACCCCCAGGACGACCTGGAGCCCCTGGCCCTGGCCCCAGCCCCGGCCCCCCGGCCCCCTCAGGACCTCATCGGCCTGCGCCTGGCCCAGGAGAAGGCCTTAAAGCGGCAGCTGGAGGAGGAACAGAAGCTGAAGCCGGGGGGAGCCCCCTCCTCGTCCTCCTCTTCCTCAGCCCGGCCCGGCCCTCCCCAGCCGGAGGAAGCCATAGATTTCCGGGAGGAGGGGCCCGAGTGTGAGACCCCGGCCATCTTCATCAGCATGGATGACGACTCGGGGCTGACCGAGGCCGCACTGCTGGACTCTAGTCTTGAGGGGCCCCTACCCAAGGTAGGGATGACGACTTCAGAGCAGCAAAGGAAGAAAAACATCAGGGCCTCGGGGTGAAGTCTGTGCACCGGCTGCCCCAGCTTGGGGGGTCGGGGGTCGGGGGGACCACGCCGTCTTTGACCGGCTCGCCCTTCTCCGTCACCAGGAGGCAGCAGCGAGCGGGCTGACCGCCAAGGAGGAGCGGAGCCCCCAGACCCTCACCCCTGCCGGAGAAGACACCGTGAAGACCCCCAGCCCCGCCGCCGCAGAGGAAGCCGGGGAATCCGAGAACAAGGGGAACAGCTGACGGGGCGTGGTGGGGAAGGGGAGCGGGGCCGGGAGCTCGGGAAGGGCGGGGCGGGGCTTGACCAGCGGTGCTTTGCCTTTAAGAAAAATTTTCAAAAAGATCGCGGGTGTGGGGCGTGGGTGCTGTCTCGTCTCCGCTGCGCGTCGGCGGTGGGACTGCGCGGGATCCAGGGGGCGTGCCCGGGCGGCTGGAAGGCTGGAGGCCGCCCGGCGCGGGGCGAGGGCTGCGCCTGCGCGGAGCGTGCTCCTCGGCCCGGCGTCCCCGCCCCCCCTAACGGCCCGCCCCGCCCCCTTAGAAACGGGCGCTGCCGGCGTGGCTGCCGCCCGGCGAGTACAACCGGGCGACTGGTCTGGCTTGCCTGTCTGCAAGCCTTCCTCCGAGAAGTCTGCAACCCCCTTTTGAACCATGGGGGACCCCCGCCGCCCGCCCCTGATCCTTCTGCCCCGCAGCCCTCGAGCCGGAGGAGTTCCCAGGTCTCTGAGCAGCGCAGTCAGGAACGCGCTCAGCTCCCGCCCGCGGTCCCCGACGGGGTGCAACAGATGCCGCTGGACGCCCAGGTCCTGCGGAGCAGTCAGGAGATCTTGGAGAGCCAGGCCAACCTCCAGAGCTGGTCACAAGGGGCCAGCCTGAGTCCGTATGAGCAATTGGCCATGTTCCAGGCTGAGGAAGCCCAGTTGGGTGGCATGGAGTACCCGTCCTTGAATACGGGCTTTCCCTCGGAGTTCCTGCCCCAGCCTTACCTGGATGGAGGCGGCATCCAGGTCCCCGGCAACGCCAGCCTAATGCAGCAGCTACAGCATGGCCGAGGCAACGTCTTCCAAGAACTGGAGTCTGCCTACCAGGAGCCCCGGCCCGACCTCCTGGGCCAGTTCAGCATGTACCAGAGAGAAGACCTGCAGTTCAGCGCGAGCGCCCAGCACGGGCCCTACATGAGAGATGACCCTGCCCTCCAGTTCTCACCCTCTGAGCTGGGCTTCATGTCCTTCAGTATGCAGGTGCCCGAGCCCGAGCCTCGGGAGCTGGCAGTGCAGAACGCCAAGGCCTACCTGCTGCAGACCAGCGTCAATTGCAACCTCAGCCTGTGAGAGGGGGCCTGGAGGGGTGGGGGGCGTGGGACCCTGTCTCAGGCTCTGGGGTCTCATCAGGCAGACAGGGGATCGCCCCTCATGGAGAACCAGCGACCACTCGGGGCGTCTCACAGCCCAGGAGTCAGGGAGTAAATGCTACCAACAGCGAGCATTGACTTACCAGACATTGTGCCAGCACTTCACACAGTAACATCTAGTTCTCACGGCTGAGATTAGCACATCTCCTGCCCTATTTTACAGAGAAGGAAACCCAGACAGAAAGTAGGTCCCGTATCCAAGATAACACAACTAGGATGAGGCAGAGCCAGGATTCTGGCACAAGTAATTTGCTCCCTGAGACCGTTATCCACTAAACCCTCCTGCCTGGGGAAGGCACTTGCCAAGGCCACTTAGCACAGTCATAATACACCTCTCTGCCCCCATTACCTCCTCGCGAAGCTCACATTCTAATGGGAGAATGGACAATAAATATAATAAATGATAAGAGCTAAGGTAGGGGCCGGCCTGGTGGCGCAGCGCTTAAGTGTGCATGTTCTGCTTCGGTGGCCTGGGGTTTGCTGGTTCAGATGCTGGGTGTAGACATGGCACCACTTGGCAAGCCATGCTGTGGTAGGCGTCCCACGTATAAAGTAGAGGAAGATGGGCACAGATGTTAGCTCAGGGCCAGTCTTAGCAAAAAAAGGAGGATTGGCAGCAGTTAGCTCAGGGCTGATCTTCCTCAAAACAATAAATAAATAAAAGAGCTAAGGTGAAAATAAGCAGGGTAGAGGAGATAGGGAGGGCATATTAAATAGCATGAGGTCAGGGGAGGTGCCTCTGAGGAGGTGACATTTGATCAGGGACCTGCCGGAGCTGAGGATGCCCTGGAGGAAGTGGTCCAGGTAGAAGACATAACAAGTTGAAAGGCTTTAAGGTTGGCTGTGTTTGAAGAACAGCAAGGAGGCCGGTTTGACTGGAACTAAGGGAGGAAGAGGAGGAGATGAGGTTGGAGAAGTAACAGGTCTTGCTAAAGCACAAAGCTGACCCCATCCCTCCCATGGCCAGAGCCTGCCGGGGCTCCCCAGTGGCCTCAGAAGGTTCACACTCCTCACAAGAGCCTTCAAGGCCCTGTATAATTCAGCCCCTGCCCGCTCTCCAAATTTCATCTATAGTCAGCTCCTACCTCAGATCCTAGAGTCTAGTCCAAATTAACCTCTAGCTCTTCCCAACAGTTCCGGCCCTTGGGATCTTAAAGGTCCTTTATTGAAAAGCCCTGGCCAAAGTCTGACCTCTCCCTACCCTTCCAATTCAGTGATGGTCCTCCCCCACACCCAAGACTGCCGCCAAAGGGTTTCCACACTGCAGAGGGTTAGATATACATGCTTTGAAGTCAGACCAACTTGATTTCAAATCCTGGCTGTGCTACCACTGTGACCTCAACTTTTCTAAGCCTCAGTTTCCTTATCTGGAGAGTGGGGATCATAATTGTTCCTCAGACGTATGATGGTGGTGAGAATTTAACATTGCTCTCAAGTGCCCAGCACAGTGCCTGACTTGCGGGAATGGAAGCCATACTGTTATCACTCCAGCCTGCTCTCCTCCCACAACCCGTCTCCCTCACTCCACCAGCCCCACTGACCTCCTCAGTGTTCTTCCTACCTGCCGGGCACACCCTCAGCTCAAGGCCTTTGTACATCACACCCAATCACGTCCTCTGCATCTTCCTCCCCAATCCTTTGACTTTCCTTTTTCATGTCAGATTGCATTGGCTGGGACCTCCAGTGCAGTATTAAACAGAAGTCAAGAAAGCAGGCATCCTCCCAATCTCACAGGGGAAAATATTCATCTTTCTCCTTTATGTTTGGTGTGTGCTGTAGGTTGCTTGTGGCTACCCTTTATAAGATTATAAAAAATTACCTTCTATTCCTAGTTTGCTAGGTTTTTAAAAATCATGAACGGGTGTTAGATGTCAGCAAACTATTTCTCTGCACCTGTCGAGATGATCTTACATATCTCCTTTTTTTTTTTTTTTAAGATTTTATTTTTCTTTTTTCTCCCCAAAGCCTCCCAGTACATAGTTGTGTCTTTTTAGCTGTGGGCCCTTCTAGTTGTGGCATGTGGGATGCCACCTCAGCATGGCCCAACGAGCGGCGCCATGTCCGTGCTCAGGATCCGAACCGGTGAAACCCTGGGCCACTGAAGCAGAGCGCACGAACTTAACCACTTGGCCACGGGGCCAGCCCTTTACAGATCTCCTTTAACATATTAACATGATGAATCATATTTTTGTCTATTTTCCTAATATCAGTCCAGTCTTGCATTCCTCTTATTAGCCTGATTTAACCCTGGTGTGTCATCCTTTGGAGAAGTTGCTGCATGTCCTTTGCTAATATCTTGCTCAGGACTTCAGTATCTATATTTCTAAATGAGATTAGCATAGAATTTTTCTTTCCCCTAGTTTCCTTGAGTTTTGGTATTAAGATCATATTTGATTCATAAAATGTCTCACGGGGCTGGCCCCGTGGCCGAGTGGTTAAGTTCGCGTGCTCCGCTGCAGGCGGCCCAGTGTTTCATTGGTTCAAATCCTGGGCACGGACATGGCACTGCTCATCAAACCACGCTGAGGCAGCGTCCCACATGCCACAACTAGAAGGATCCACAACGAAGAGTATACAACTATGTACCGGGGTGGGGGGGGTGGGGCTTTGGGGAGAAAAAGGAAAAAATAAAAATCTTCAAAAAAAAATCAAATGACGTACCCTTTAAAAAGTAAAATAAAATAAAATAAAATGTCTCAGGGCCTGTGCACCTGCTGTTCCCTCTGACTGAAGCTCTTCCCCTCCCCGGTATCAGCGTGGTTTGCCTGCTCACTTCATTCAGGTCTCAGCTTAAATGTCACCTTGGTGAGGCCTTTCTCTGGCCCCCTTATTTAAAATTGCAAAGTGTCTCCTCTCCCTGGCATTCCCATTCCCTGCTTTATTTGTCTCCACAGAAATTAGCACCCCCTGACACACTATGTAATTTGCATATTTGGTTAAATTCTGTCTCCATCATCAGGTGGTCAGCTCCACCAGGGCAGGGACCCTTTCTCTTCTCTACTGTGTCCCCAGTGCCAGGCACGGGGCCAGACACACAGCAGTGAGCTCAGTGAGTGATGTCCCCTGCCTCCCACTCCCTCCCGCGGGAGGCAGGTACGAGCACCTTGTGAACCTGCTGACCAAGATCCTGAACCAGCGGCCCGAGGACCCCCTGTCCATCCTGGAGTCGCTGAACCGCACCGCCCAGTGGGAGTGGTTCCACCCCAAGCTGGACACGCTGCGGGACGACCCGGAGATGCAGCTCACCTACGAGATGGCCGAGAGGCAGAAGGCCCTGTTTGTCCGGGGCGGCAGCGGTGAAGGCGAGCAGGACATGGAGGAGGAGGTGGTAAGTGAGCCAGTGGGGAGGGGCGTGCACGAGGTGAGGGGGGCCCGGCCTTAGGCATAGCCTGTGCTGAGGCCTGGAGGTAAGGGGAGCGGGGGGCACCACAGAAACATGAATGATTTCAGTCTAGAGTGTGCACCCGGCGGAGGGGGCTGGGACCAGATCACAGAGGGCCTTGAACGCCAGGCTAAGGGGCTAGGACTTTCTCCTGAGGCCGGTGGACTGCCGTGGAAGGGTTTGAGGCAGAGGAAAGGCTAGTCCGCTCTGCCTTAGAAAGCTGACTCCAGCTGCCATGTGGAGGTGGAGGCTGGTCTCTCCTTCCAGCACTTACTCTCCCTCCAGAAAATAGTCTCTCAACACTGAATTGCCCCCTAGCCCCTAGACTCAGTTTCCCCTTTTGTAAGTTGGGACCGGCTAAGAATTCTTCCACCCGTGACTCTTTAATATTCTACTATCCTCAGAATATTTATGTCCCCGGTTCTGTTTCCAGAATTGGACGACTGCTTAAAATTTGGGCGAAGTGTTCACTCCTTCAAGCAGCATTTACGGAGGACTGTCTGTTTAAGATAATTCTGACACCTCCAGGCCCCCTGCTAAGAGCTTAGGAGCA